TCGTGTAATCTATCCACAAGAAAGCCTTTGCTGGGTCTCGAGAAACAAAATTATTCTGGATGGAGTCGCGCGCACAAACACGTTTGGCCCTTTTTGCCGCGGGATGTTTCACTTCCTGCGCATGCGGCAGGGAAGTCCCTGCTCCCCGGACTTAATCTTCCGAGCACCACGCCGGCCAATCGCTCCAGCGCTCGCGCACACAGACGGGTTCGGGAGAGAAACGCGCGCCGTTCCCGCGGCATTCTCGCTTGCCCGCTGGATTTCGGTGCTTTTCTTCAATCTCCGTGTGATCCAGCGACCCTCAATAAAAAAATTAATAAGACGGTAGACTCGAGATTGTACGCGCTAATCGCGGGGGAGGACGGCCGTGGATAATTAAACCTAAAAAATATCACCGTTTTCTGTGCATCTCCACTAACATAGGTATAAATTATGTTTAAGTTAAGAAAATTTTGTGAGTTAATGAACAATAATTTGTAGTGAAGAATGCATTGATCTTGTTTTATTACAAAAGTCCTTGCAAAAACACATACTGATCGGATGAATCGCTCAAAATGAAGCACAACTGACCATTTCGATTGTTACTCTTTTGATTTAAAACGAACACAAACGATCGACGATTTATCGATGCGCGTGCTCAGTGATAGTAACACTTTCATAATCAACGTTTTTGGGTTAGATCGCGTTATTTATAAATGTGTCGTAACCCTCCACCACCTGACAAAAAGACAAATAGTTCACTACTTTAGCCCACCGGTGTGTTGAAGTGTGAAACCACAACATTTACAATTTTTGAGTAGTACGACGTTTCGCTGGTAATTACGTCCAGCATCATCGGGCAATTCGCCAGAATGGTGAGGCTCTGCTTTTGCCCTCGCTCTTAAATAGAGCAGCAGCAGCAGGGTGACGTCATCATTTAACTCATCAGGTGCAACGATTCGAGGGGGAGGGGGGGGGGGATTATTGTAATTATATACTAGATTAGTAATCACCACAGCCAAGACTCAGCAGCAGAGCCACGCCAATCAACAGCAATCAAACTCCGCCACCCACTGTTGTAAAGATATTGCAACTACTGTACTGTAGAGGCGATCACGTGGAGTTTCGGATGAAGTGGAGCAACATAGTTTAAGCACGTGACTTGTAATGAACATTTCCAAAAATAACAATGTATCACCGCTTTTAGATGATTCATTTGAGCTTGAGGGAAAATCCACGAGTCGATAATGTATGTCAACACCTCAGGTGCGTGCGGTTAATCCGCAAATCGGATGAACGGCACGTGGACACATCGAGAGTCTCCTGTAGTTTGTTTTTAATGGCGGGACCCCTTCTTTATTTACACAAAGGGCCATCTCGCAGCAGCGCTCTACACGCGATTAGCGACTTGCATCTCAAACATTTGCATGAGTTTCACCCCGTGACCCCCCCCCCGCTCTACCTACCCGCCCCCCCATCCAGTAGAGGGCCATCCATTTAGTACGTACACATGGAGGGGAGTCTACTGACAATGTACGTACGCATAGGAAACGAGGGGGGGGGGGGTTGGAGCCTCGATAATAATTTGTCTACATCGGCCTTCAAATAAGTTAGATAGTCCGGCGATGGACTATCTGTTTGCTTAAACACGTTCATATTATTAATCCTTGATCGTTTCTGCGTGGATTAAATCTCGGCCGTTCTATAGGATTCGGGGGGGGGGGGGGGGTGCGTCAGGCGAACGTACGCAGGTGGGGGGGGGGGGGTGTAAAAAGTATTCGTGCGTATAGGGAGGGGGTAGGGTCAAGTTTTGATCAATTTTTTGCGTACGGACTAAATGGATGGCCCCTAGCTGCCAATGCATCTCCTGTGCGTGTCCCGAGCGATGTCGGACTTGGCACTCCGGTACCAAGTGCCAACGCCAGCCCAGGGCTCTCTGTGCCCCCCGCGTCGTGTTTTCTGTAACCCGCCTGCCAGTGCGCGTGTGAGCACAACGGGCAGCCGTGCCACACTCCTCTAGCGCGCGGGACGCTCTCTCTGTCTCTCTCTCTGTCTCTCTCTCTGTCTCTCTCTGTCTCTCTGTCTCTGTGTCTCTCTCTCTGTCTTTCTCTCGCGGCGACGACGACCCCCCTTCGTCAGCGCTAAGCGTCGTCCCTGTCTTCCCCCCGCAGGCCTCCGCAGGCCGACGTCACCGCCAGGGGCAATGAAGGCCAGTCGGCGCGGCTCCACCGCCGGCCTCACGCTCCGGGCCGCGCTGGCGATTATCGCCGCCCTCCTGCCCTCGTGCCCCACCGCCGTCGCCACGCCGTTCTCGCCCGACGTGGAGCTGCAGAAGATGGTGCTGGAGCCGAACTCGGGCGCGCTCATCGTGGCCGGCGACAACACGCTGTTCCGGCTGGCGCCCGACCTGAGCGTGGAGCGCACCGAGGAACTCTGCTGCTCCCCCTCCTCCTCCTCCGCCTCCGCCGCCGACTGCCCCAGCATCACCTGTTCGGGCGGCGGCTCCGGCCAGCCCTGCCGCAACCCCGTGATCATGCTGACGCTGCTGCCCGGCGCCGCCGAGCAGCTGGTGGTGTGCGGAAACGCGACGTGCGGGCCGCTGGAGGCGGGCGCTGCGAGGTGCGCTCGTCCGCCAACCTGTCGCGGGCGCCCCACTCGGACGCCAAGTACTGCACCTACAGGTACACCAAGGTGGCCGGCGAGCAGAGCGCCGCCGTGGCCGTGGCGGCGCCCGGCGGCGCGGGCAATGTCCTCTACTTGGGCCTGGGCCACGCCAACTCGTTCAGGGGCCACCCGCTGTCCATGCAGGACCTCAAGGGCAACGTGCTGTGCCGCATGGACCACGCCTCCATGGCGCTGTGCAACCCGTACGGGCTGTACGAGCACCTGTTCGTGGCGGCCTTGGCCACCGAGAGCCACGCCTTCTTCGTGTTCCGGCGGAGGAACGGCACGAGCAAGGCGGTGGCCGGCGCGAGCCACCCGTACCTCACCTACGTGGGCCGCCTGTGCCTCGACGACGTCAACTACTACTCCTACGTGGAGGTGCCCCTGCGGTGCGAGGGCCGTCCCGGCGGCGGGCCCGAGAGGCTCGCGAGCGCCGCGTGGCTCGGCGAGCCGGGGCCCGCCTTGGCGGGAGGGGGGGCCACCCTGGTGGTCGCGTTCGTCGACGCGGGCGGCAGGAAGCGCTCGGCGCTGTGCGCCTACCCGCTGAGCGCCCTCGACGCCAAGATCGACGAGACGAGGCAGGAGTGCTACACCAAGCAGAGCCCCAGGAGCAACGACGTCTACCTGCCGTACCGCGAGAACGACGGCGAGGACTGCACCGCCAACACGCCGGTGAGGTTTCCGGTTGCCTGGTTTGCCGGTGGGGGGGGGGGGGGGGGTGGTGGTTGGGGGGGGCTTGTGAAAAACTGCCGACCCCCCCCCCCCCCAAAAGTCGTCGTCCCCCCTCACCCACTCCCTTCCTGCTTGAGGAATGTCTTCAGATACACATGGGAGTGGTGGTGAGTGGGGTAGTGGTGGTGAGTGGGGGGGTGAGTGGGGGGGGGTGAGTGGGGGGGGGTGAGGAGTGGGGGGGGGTGAGGAGTGGGGGGGGGTGAGGAGTGGGGGGGGGTGAGGAGTGGGGGGGGTGAGGAGTGGCGGGGGGTGAGGAGTGGAGGGGGGGAGGAGGGGGGGGGGTGAGGAGGGGGGGGGGTGAGGAGTGGGGGGGGGTGAGGAGTAGGGGGGGGTGAGGAGGGGGGGGTGAGGAGGGGGGGGGGATGAGGAGGGAGGATGAGTAGGTGAGTGGGGGAGGTGAGTGGGTGGAGATGCCCAGCTCCACAAGGATGGCATCGCACGGGGTGAGGAACGCCGCCAGGTCCACCTGAGGGTGGTGAGTGGCTGGGGTGAGTGGCTGGAGTGAGTGGGTGATTGATGAAATGAGTAAGCGGACGATAGAAGTCTTCCGCCATCACAAGTGTGTCCGTCTCTCCTCCTCTTGTTGGAAGACCTACTGGCCACACGCACGGCCTTCTGGGAGCGCACAATTTGAGCAGCATTGGTTCAATACGAGCAAACTTTGGCCCGGTTTCGACACGCACAGGTCGGGCTCACTTGAATCGATAATGGGACATCTGCCAATCGTTTATAGGCAAGGCCCACTGCGCTGTCAGCTTCATTGTTCAGATGCGGCCTGGCCATAAACGACAGCTGAACGAAGTGGCTTACGATGTGCAAATTTTTAGCGGCGAAAGGCAAGCAAAGTCCAAATATACAGCAGCAGCAGCAGGCGTCAGGGTTGGGCTCAATCCCCCCAACCTCCTGCATGCCGGGCGAGGTAGTTAACATCTCACCACCGCAGCAAGTGGAGGCCTGGGCCACGTCACAGCCCCCCAATATTCCGTATTGAAGAACGATTACACAAAACACTCTCGTCTCTGACACTGGCCTTAATAGGCTCTCGCTGACACTGCCCCCCCTCCCGTGTGCCCCCCACCCCCACACCACCGTGCCGCAACCGAAGGCGCACAACGTGGCGCAGTGGCCGTGCGGCAGTGACCACCTGACCAAGATCCTGGCGAGCCGCTCGGGGGTGTCGCGCCGCCCGCTGCTCGAACTCAACGTCACGCTGCTCACCTCCGTCGCCGTGACGACCGAGAATGGCCACACCGTCGCCTTCCTGGGCGACCACGACGGTTTCCTGCACAAGGTGCGCCCCTCCCCACTCCCCCCCTCCTCTCTCCCGCACGACCCAACGCTCCAAGCTGAGATGTTAACCACCTCGCCTGGTATACAGGAGGTCGTGGGTTCGATCCCGACCTTGACGCCTGTTTGTAACCACTTTGCACGCTGGCGAGATGTTAACTACCTCGCCTGGTATACAGGAGGTCGTGGCTTCGATCCCGACCCTGACGCCTGTTTGTAACCGCTTTGCACGCTGGCGAGATGTTAACTACCTCGCCTGGTATACAGGAGGTCGTGGGTTCGATCCCGACCCTGATGCCTGCTCTATATTGGAGTTTGCGTGTCTCTCTATCCCCGCAGTCGCGTGGATTTTTCTCCGGGTCCTCCACATTTAGAATCATCATGTGTTTTAAGAGCATTTGGCTGCTATAAATTGCCACATGATAGGCTACTTGGTTGAGCTATCATTTTCGATAGCCCGGTCGCTTCTGAAAAAGAGCTGGATAGCTCAGTGGGCCTGACTGGTAAAATAAAAAATAGTTCATAGTTTAGTTTAGTAGTTATTCTGTAGCGATCGCCGTGCAAAATAACCACGGTCCTTACCACCCCCCACACCTCGCTTGAGCTTCACTCTCAGACGCGGACGAATTTCTGTGTAAAGTAACCACGGTGCCTGAGCCCCTGCCGCTGCTGAACGTAGTAGTGAGTGTCGTGGTGAGCGTCTCGGTGGGCGTGGCGGTGAGCGTCGTGGTGAGTGTCGTGGTGAGCGTCTCGGTGGGCGTGGAGGTGAGCGTCGTGGTGAGTGTCGTGGTGAGTGTCGTGGTGAGTGTCGTGGTGAGTGTCGTGGTGAGCGTCTCGGTGGGCGTGGAGGTGAGTGTCGTGGTGAGCGTCTCAGTGGGCGTGGAGGTGAGTGTCGTGGTGAGTGTCGTGGTGAGCGTCTCGGTGGGCGTGGAGGTGAGTGTCGTGGTGAGCGTCTCGGTGGGCGTGGAGGTGAGTGTCGTGGTGAGTGTCGTGGTGAGCGTCTCGGTGGGCATGGAGGTGAGTGTCGTGGTGAGCGTCTCGGTGGGCGTGGAGGTGAGTGTCGTGGTGAGCGTGTCGGTGGGCGTGGAGGTGAGTGTCGTGGTGAGCGTCTCGGTGGGAGTCGTGGTGAGTGAGTCGTGGTGAGTGTCGTGGTGAGTGTCGTGGTGAGCGTCTCGGTGGGAGTCGTGGTGAGTGTCGTGGTGAGTGTCGTGGTGAGCGTCTCGGTGGGCGTGGAGGTGAGTGTCGTGGTGAGTGTCGTGGTGAGCGTCTCGGTGGGCGTGGAGGTGAGTGTCGTGGTGAGCGTCTCGGTGGGCATGGAGGTGAGTGTCGTGGTGAGTGTCGTGGTGAGCGTCTCGGTGGGCGTGGAGGTGAGTGTCGTGGTGAGCGTCTCGGTGGGCGTGGAGGTGAGTGTCGTGGTGAGCGTCTCGGTGGGCGTGGAGGTGAGTGTCGTGGTGAGCGTCTCGGTGGGAGTTGTGGTGAGTGTCGTGGTGAGTGTCGTGGTGAGTGTCGTGGTGAGCGTCTCGGGGGAGTCGTGGTGAGTGTCGTGGTGAGTGTCGTGGTGAGCGTCTCGGTGGGCGTGGAGGTGAGTGTCGTGGTGAGTGTCGTGGTGAGCGTCTCGGTGGGCGGGAGGTGAGTGTCGTGGTGAGCGTCTCGGTGGGCATGGAGGTGAGTGTCGTGGTGAGTGTCGTGGTGAGCGTGTCGGTGGGCGTGGAGGTGAGTGTCGTGGTGAGTGTCGTGGTGAGCGTCTCGGTGGGCGTGGAGGTGAGTGTCGTGGTGAGCGTCTCGGTGGGCGTGGAGGTGAGTGTCGTGGTGAGTGTCGTGGTGAGCGTCTCGGTGGGCGTGGAGGTGAGTGTCGTGGTGAGCGTCTCGGTGGGCATGGAGGTGAGTGTCGTGGTGAGCGTCTCGGTGGGCGTGGAGGTGAGTGTCGTGGTGAGCGTCTCGGTGGGAGTCGTGGTGAGTGTCGTGGTGAGTGTCGTGGTGAGTGTCGTGGTGAGCGTCTCGGTGGGCGTGGAGGTGAGTGTCGTGGTGAGTGTCGTGGTGAGCGTCTCGGTGGGCGTGGAGGTGAGTGTCGTGGTGAGCGTCTCGGTGGGCGTGGAGGTGAGTGTCGTGGTGAGCGTCTCGGTGGGCGTGGAGGTGAGTGTCGTGGTGAGCGTCTCGGTGGGAGTCGTGGTGGGAGTCGTGGTGAGTGTCGTGGTGAGTGTCGTGGTGAGTGTCGTGGTGAGCGTCTCGGTGGGCGTGGAGGTGAGTGTCGTGGTGAGCGTCTCGGTGGGAGTCGTGGTGAGTGTCGTGGTGAGTGTCGTGGTGAGCGTCTCGGGGGCGTCGTGGTGAGTGTCGTGGTGAGGTGGTGAGCGTCTCGGTGGGCGTGGCGGTGAGCGTCGTGGTGAGTGTGTCTGGTGAGCATCTCGGTGAGCGTCGTGGTGAGTGGAGTGGTGAGCGTCGTAGTGAGTGTCGTGGTGAGCGTCTCGGTGGGCATGGCGGTGAGCGTCATGGTGAGTGGAGTGGCGAGAATCTCGGTGAATGTGGTGGCGTGTGTCGTAGTTGGAGTGGCGGTGAGCGTCGTGGTGAGTGTCGTGGCGAGGGTCTCGGCGAGCGTGGTGGCGAGCGTGCCGTGCCTGTATGCCGCACAGGCGTACCTGGGCCAGGGTGAGACGTCCCGTGTCTACGGGAAAGTCAAGGTCGGCTCCGGCCAGCGCGACCCCATCAACAAAGACTCGGTGCTGGACCCCAAGGGGCAGTACCTCTACGTGTTGAACACGCGCGAGGTGGGGACTCGGCAGTACACCACACGGTACACCACCACGCGGTACACTGTGATACACCACACACGTGTACACTGTACACCACCACGCGGTACACCAACGCGGTAGACTGTGAGTACCACGGTACACACACGCGGTACACTGTGATACACCACACGGTACACTGTGATACACCACGGTACACCACCACGCGGTAGACTGTGATACACACACGGTACACTGTGATACACCACGCGGTACACTGTGACACCACGCGGTACACTGTGATACACCACGTGGTACACTGTGATACACCATATGGTACACGAGGGTGCACCACCACGCGGTACACCAGGTACAACAGCTGTCAACTCTTACAGTTGCCTGGCTACTGGTTTAGAAGTTAATGATTGCCTGGTTGCCTGTTTACTCTCTTGCCTGTTTACTCTGTCACCTGTTTACCCAATGGACTGATGTCTCAGGTGTGCGAGTGTGCCCTGTGTTGCCTGGTATCAGAGTGGTCTAGTTGCCCCATGGCAAATTAAAAATGTCTCCCAGCTGACGTCATTGCAAGGTTTTCTAGTCACTGCTTTCCCATTCACCAGTCACCCAGTCACCTGTTTTCCCATTCGCCCAGTCACTCAGTCACCTGCCTTAAAATTCACCCACTTAGTGCCCTGCCAACAATAGTTTAAAGGTACTTAATACATTTAAATCATTATTAGTCACCGATTTGCTCCGTATCATGGTCACCAAGCCACTTGGTCACCAAGTGACTCCATCATCTGGTCACCAGGTCACTCCATCATCTGGTCACCAAGTCACTCCATAATCTGGTCACGAAAGTCACTCCATCATCTGGTCACCAAGTCAGTCCATCATCTGGTCACCAGGTCAGTCCATCATCTGGTCACCAAGTCACTCCATCATCTGGTCACCAAGTCACTCCATCATCTGGTCACCAAGTCACTCCATCATCTGGTCACGAAAGTCACTCCATCATCTGGTCACCAAGTCACTCATCATCTGGTCACCAAGTCACTCCATCATCTAGTCACTAGGTCACTCCATCATCTGGTCACCAAGTCACTCCATCATCTGGTCACCAAGTCACTCCATCATCTGGTCACCAAGTCACTCCATCATCTGGTCACCAGGTCACTCCATCATCTGGTCATCAAGCAAGTCACTCCATCATCTGGTCACCAGGTCACTCCATCATCTGGTCATCAAGCAAGTCACTCCTTCATCTGGTCACCAAGTCACTCTATCATCTGGTCACCAGGTCAGTCAGTCGTCTGGCTGTCCAGTTGCTTGGCTACCTACATATCACTTATCACGGTTCCCCAGTTGCCAATTCACCCAGTCATCAGGTTGGCCTCGTGGGGGGGTTTGCCCTGCGCATGCAGGTGCACCGAGTGCCCGTGCAGCGCTGCGGAGCCAACCGGAGCTGCCCAGACTGCCTGGCGCTGGACGACCCCTACTGCGGCTGGTGTGTGCTGCAGGGCAGGTGGGTAGCGCCCTGCGCGCGGGCGCCACACGGGGTCGAACCGTTGCTCTCGTCACGCCTTGGGGGGTGGTGGGGTGGTTGTGGGTGGTTGGTGGCGTGGATGGTGGGGTGGTGGGTGGTGGGGTGGTTGGTGGGTGGTGGTGGGGTGGTTGGTGGTGGGGTGGTGGAGTGGTGGGGTGGTTGGTGGCACGGGTGGTGGGGTGGGTAGTTGATGGGGTGGTGGGGTGGTGGGGTGGTTGGTGGGACGCTATTTTGGTCGGACCGTCGCACGTACAGCCGGGGCAATGTTTATTTTTTTTCACGCTTGTGTAACTTTTCATTTGTAATTGTTTGTTACGATCAATCTTAAAATGATCTGCTCGCACTGCGGGTCATTTATTGTTTTGCCGTTGATCTCTGCCCGTGTAATATTTCTTTTTTATTTCCCATGTGGCGACCCACGTAGTTGCTTTTTGCCCACGATATTTTGTTTTTTTGCTTTCGTCATTCTGGTGAGCCAGGTGTGTGACCCTTGCAAAAAACGATAGCTTGAGTTCTCACCCGGTTACACAGAAGCACCTTGAACCGTGTTTTCCGATGAGATCGTTTGTTGATTTCAGAAGCAAGGGGCCCGCCGCGGCGTGGCGGGCGTCGTGCGACGGCGCCGCTGTCGTCGCCGGAGTCTTATTGTCATCGTTGTTGTTGTTGTTGTCGTTGTTGTGTCCTCCGATGCCGGGAAGGTGCTCGCGCAAGATGGAGTGCGAGCGGGGAACCGAGCCCGGCTGCTGGGTGCAGACCTACGAGAACACGAGTTGCCCCACCATCGCCTCCGCCAGTCCCACAGCCTCAGCGTCAAGCTGCCACCCACGGTGCGTACGTCGCTCACATGTGTCACTCACATGTGTCGCTGCGTGCGTCACTTGCGTGCGTCGCTGCGTGTGTCGCTGCATGTGTCGCTGCGTGCGTCACTTGCGTGCGTCGCTCACATGTGTCGCTCACATGTGTCGCTGCGTGCGTCACTTGCGTGCGTCGCTCACATGTGTCGCTCACATGTGTCGCTGCATGCGTCACTTGCGTGCGTCGCTGCGTGTGTCGCTGCGTGCGTCACTTGCGTGCGTCGCTCACATGTGTCGCTCACATGTGTCGCTGCGTGCGTCGCTCGCATGTGTCGCTGCGTGCGTCACTTGCATGTGTTGCTGCGTGCGTCACTTGCATATGTCGCTGCGTGCGTCACTTGCATGTGTCGCTGCGTGCGTCGCTGCGTGCGTCGCTGCGTGTGTCGCTGCGTGCGTCACTTGCATGTGTCGCTGCGTGCGTCGCTGCGTGCGTCGCTGCGTGCGTCGCTGCGTGCGTCGCTCGCATGTGTCGTTGCGTGTGTCGCTGCGTGCGTCGCTGCGTGCGTCGCTGCATGCGTCGCTGCATGCGTCGCTGCGTGCGTCGCTGCGTGCGTCGCTGCGTGCGTCGCTGCGTGCGTCGCTTTGTGCGTCGCTGCGTGCGTCGCTGCGTGCGTCGCTGCGTGCGTCGCTGCGTGTGTCGCTGCGTGCGTCGCTGCATGTGTCGCTGCGTGTGTCGCTGCGTGCGTCGCTTGCGTGCGTCGCTGCGTGCGTCGCTGCGTGCGTCGCTGCGTGCGTCGCTGCGTGCGTCGCTGCGTGCGTCGCTGCGTGCGTCGCTGCGTGCGTCGCTGCGTGCGTCGCTGCGTGCGTCGCTTTGTGCGTCGCTCGCATGTGTCGCTGCGTGCGCGTGCACCACGCAAGTTGTTTGCATGTTGCACTTCGGACCCGGTGAGCCGAGTTTTCAGTCGGTGGTGGATATCAATCGGTCCACTCAAGTATCTTGTGCAGTGATGCAAACGTTCACACTGGGGTGACAAAGGTGGCCGGGCGTGGTGCTGGCTGCCCACCCCCTTGTGAGCCGTGATGGCCTCAGTAGGTGCTCGCGAACAGCACTTGGGTGAGCGGGTTGGAGAGTGAGTGGGTGAGTGGGTTGGAGAGTGAGTGGGTGAGTGGGTTGGAGAGTGAGTGGGTGAGTGGGTGGGTGAGTGGGTGGTGGGTAATGGAGTGAGTTAATGATTGGGTATGTGAGTGGGTGAGTGGGTGAATGAGTGGTGAGTAATCGAGTGATTGGTGAGTGAGGTGGGTGAGCGAGTTGGTTCATTTCTCCCCTCCTGGCCGCTCTCCGTTGGCTCTCCCCTGCGATTACCCCTGGTGTACTTTATGGGCGTGCGATTAATGCGAGCTGCCTCCGCCGCTGCCTCCCCCCGCTGCCTCTCTCCACACCACCCCCCCTCCCCGCGTGTGCCACCGATTGCAGTCGGTGACGCTGCACGTGCCGGCGCTGCCGGCGCTGCACGAGGGGGAGCTGCTCACGTGCCACTTCGACGCGTTCGAGTCGCCCGCGACGGTGGCGGGCGCCGACGTGACGTGCGCCCAGTCCCTGCCGCTCGACGCCATCCCGGCCATCCCGCCCAACAGCGGTGGGCATGACAGCGGCAGCGGCGACGATGACGACGACGACGACGACGGCGACGACGGCGAGCGTTGCGATACGATTCCTCCCCTGGTTTAAGATGAGACGGGAGGAGGGTTAGGTCCTGAAATGCAAAGTTTTTTTTTTCTTTCCCCTCCCCCAAGAGGACTCTGGGCGTGACGTCCGCTGCGCCTTCTCCGGCCAGGGCGGGTTTTTATCGACGTCGCGTTTCCGACACCGCGGATCGCGAAGCTCTCTCGGCTGTGGGGGTCGAACGGGGTGGGGAGGCGGGGAGGTGGGGGGGGGGCGCCTTGGTTGGCCGGAGCGCAGAATTGGCCGTGGCCGTGCGGGAGCGGGAGAGCAGCGGTGTGTGGCGGCAGCGATTGCCGCGTGGCGCTGCGAACCCGGCGACCCGAGTTGGAATCCCGCTCGCGACCGATAAACGGTGGCCACCCACCCACCCCCTCGTGTGCCGCACCGGCCTTCGTAGGTGCTGCTCGCTAACGGGACTTGCGCCGACTGTCTGTTAAAGCTACACGGGGTCTCTGTGTGCGTGTGTGTGCGCGTGCGCACGTGCGTGTCCCTGCATGTTCATCCGTGCGCCTTTCCGCCCCTAACACAGACCACGTGGACGTGCGCGTGGAGGTTCGTTACGGGGAGGTGAGCGTGGCGCACGCTCTGCTCCCGTTCTACGACTGCGAGCGGGTGGTGCAGGACGACGAGACGAGTCCGTGAGTCGCCGCCGGCGCCGCGCTCCACCGGGGGCGCTCTGGGGAATACAATGACAGAAGGAAACTCGTAACGCTGCGTACGCGGCGGTGCATGTGCTCACGTACGTACGTGTGTGTCTTTGTCTGCATCTGTGTGCGTGTGTGTTTGTGTATGCGTGTGTGTTTGTGTGTGCGGGTGCGCATGTGCGTGCGTGTGCGTGCGTGTGCGTGCGTGTGTGTGCGTGTGTGTGCGTGCGTGCGTGTGCGTGTGTGCGTGCGTGCGTGTGCGTGTGTGCGTGCGTGCGTGTGTGCGTGCGTGTGTGCGTGTGCGTGTGCGCGCTCGCCAACAGGTGCGCTCACTGCGTCACGAGGCACTGGACGTGCAGCTGGTGCCCTCTGGAGTTCAAGTGCACGCACGAGCCCCAGTGTACTTCCGCCCACACGGTGAGAACCGGCAAAGCCAGGTTACCTCGCACCGCGTTCACCCGGCCCCGCGTTCACCTTGCGTCGCGTTCACCTTGCGTCGCGTTCACCTTGCGTCGCGTTCACCTTGCGTCGCGTTCACCTTGCGTCGCGTTCACCTTGCGTTGCGTTCACCTTGCGTCGCGTTCACCCGGCCCCTCGTTCACCTTGCGTCGCGTTGACCTTGCGTCGCGTTCACCCGACCCCTCGTTCACCTTGCGTCGCGTTCACCTTGCGTCGCGTTCACCTTGCGTCGCGTTCACCTTGCGTCGCGTTCACCTTGCGTCGCGTTCACCTTGCGTTGCGTTCACCCGGCGTCGTGTTCACCTTGCGTCGCGTTCACCCGGCGTCGCGTTCACCTTGCGTCGCGTTCACCTTGCGTCGCGTTCACCCGGCGTCGCGTTCACCTTGCGTCGCGTTCACCTTGCGTCGCGTTCACCCGGCCCCTCGTTGACCTTGCGTCGCGTTGACCTTGCGTCGCGTTCACCCGGCCCCTCGTTCACCTTGCGTTGCGTTCACCTTGCGTCGCGTTGACCTTGCGTCGCGTTCACCCGGCCCCTCGTTCACCTTGCGTTGCGTTCACCTTGCGTCGCGTTCACCTTGCGTCGCGTTCACCTTGCGTCGCGTTCACCCGGCCCCTCGTTCACCTTGCGTTGCGTTCACCTTGCGTCGCGTTCACCCGGCCCCTCGTTCACCTTGCGTCGCGTTCACCTTGCGTCGCGTTCACCCGGCCCCTCGTTCACCTTGCGTCGCGTTCACCTTGCGTCGCGTTCACCTTGCGTCGCGTTCACCTTGCGTCGCGTTCACCTTGCGTCGCGTTCACCTTGCGTCGCGTTCACCCGGCGTCGCGTTCACCTTGCGTCGCGTTCACCTTGCGTCGCGTTCACCTTGCGTCGCGTTCACCTTGCGTTGCGTTCACCTTGCGTTGCGTTCACCCGGCGTCGCGTTCACCTTGCGTCGCGTTCACCTTGCGTCGCGTTCACCTTGCGTCGCGTTCACCTTGCGTCGCGTTCACCTTGCGTCGCGTTCACCCGGCCCCTCGTTCACCTTGCGTTGCGTTCACCTTGCGTCGCGTTCACCTTGCGTCGCGTTCACCTTGCGTCGCGTTCACCTTGCGTCGCGTTCACCCGGCCCCTCGTTCACCTTGCGTTGCGTTCACCTTGCGTTGCGTTCACGTTGCGTCGCGTTCACCTTGCGTCGCGTTCACCCGGCCCCTCGTTCACCTTGCGTCGCGTTCACCTTGCGTCGCGTTCACCTTGCGTTGCGTTCACCTTGCCCCGCGTTCACCTTGCGTCGCGTTCACCTTGCGTCGCGTTCACCTTGCGTCGCGTTCACCTTGCCCTGCGTTCCCCCGTGTGGTGCTGTGTGCAGGTGTCGAGCAGCGACGATTGCCCCGCGATCGACAAGGTGCTGCACTCCCTGGTGCCCACGGGGGTTCCTCGCCACGTGCGCATGACCGCTCGCAACCTCCACCTGCTGGACCACGTGAAGGAGGTGCGGGGGGGGGGGGCCCTCGCTCTCTCCTCTCCTCGTTTGCGTCGCGTCCGTCGGCTACGTGTAGCGAGTGCGGTGTTGCCTATAGCGATTGTGGTGTCAAGCGAGCGTGGTGTTTAGCAAGTGCGGTTTTTTGCTGTGGTCCGTCGATGTCTGCGCATCAAACTTATTTCCCACCGTACGTAGCCGACGGTGCTAATCGGAGGTTGCGGGGGAAGGACAACAAACTAAACACGTAGAGCAGTTCTTAAGAAGTTTGTTTTCAATCTGGATGATGATGATGATGTTGATTTAAAAGCGCATAGCTCCAACAGCTTCCTTGTATCGGAAGTGAAGAGCATTTCAAATGGCCGTAGAACTGCATCTGAAAGCACCACGCGATGCGCTGACCGTCTTTGTTCGATGGGCAGCCAAAAGCCGTTGCTGCTGTTGCCGCTGCTGCCGCTGCTGCTGCCACTGCTGCTGCTACTGCTGCTGCGAGGATACCCGGAGTGGTGCCTCTAGCTAGTGAGGTGACTGGCTAGTGCGGTGTTATCGTGTTGTGTGTGCAATGTCCGGCGTCTGCACTCGTCCGGTAACCACGTGCGTGCGTGTGTGTGTGTGTAGGTGACCTGCACCGTGCTGGTGGAGGGTCGCACCGTCGCCAGCCTCGGCAGCGTCGACGACACCGGCGCGGTGACGTGCGATGCCCAGATCGTGAGTGGCGCCGTCACCGCCGCACCCGCACGGGCGGCGCGCCAATGTAGCGCCGTTTCCGGCGGCAGCGCCGGCGCGCCGCTGGTGTCGGGAGAGCGCGCTCCGGTTCGCTCTCCGGCACGCTGGCGGTGCCGCTGATCTGCTGCTGCAGCTGCTGCTGCTGCAGTTGCAGCAGCAGCAGCTGCAAGCGTAAACTGGCCACGTTTGTTCACGTGACAACTTTATTAACGACTGGGGAAGGAGGCATCGTCGTGGTTGTTGTTGTCGTCGTCGTCGTTGTTGTTGTTGTCGTCGTCGTCGTTGTTGTTGTCGTCGTTGTTGTTGTTGTCGTTGTTGTTGTTGTCGTTGTTGTTGTCGTTGTTGTTGTCGTCGTCATTGTTGTTGTTGTCGTTGTTGTTGTCGTTGTTGTTGTTGTCGTTGTTGTTGTCGTTGTTGTTGTCGTCGTCATTGTTGTTGTTGTCATCGTGGTTGTTGTTGTCGTCGTTGTTGTCATCATTGTTGTTGTTGTCATCGTTGTTGTCGTCATTGTTGTTGTTGTCGTCGTCGTTGTTGTTGTTGTCATCGTCGTTGTTGTTGTAGTCGTCGTCGTCGTTGTTGTCGTCGTTGTTGTTGTTGTTGTTGTTGTAGTCATCGTTGTTGTTGTCGTCGTTGTTGTCTTCATTGTTGTTGTCATCGTTGTTTGTTGTTATTTTTGTTGCCATTGTTGTTATCTTTGTTATTTTTGTTGTCATTGTTTTTATTGTTATTGCCATCTGCGCTTCTGACGCCGGTGCCTGCCGCGTTTCTTTGTCCCCCCCCCCCCCCCGCTCAGTACGAGTACCACACGGAGAGCATGGAGTACCAGGCGGAGGTGTGGCTGGAGCTGAGCAAAGGTCATCGCCTTGACAACCAGCAGCGGCACAACGGTACGGGGAGCGGGGTGGTGAGGGGTGGCGGGGGGGGGGCGGGGGGGCGGCAGCGGCCCACAATGCCGTGCGGTCGAAGTCGCCGTTTAAGTTCCGTCCGAGCGAGGCGTCGGTTGTTCATCTCCAGAGCGCAAAGCGGCGCAGTGGTCAGAGCGCCACGCCGCCCTACGAACCCGGCGACACGAGTTCGACTCCCGCTCGCGACCAGATAAAAGTTGCGAATATTTTAAGCGGCCTCCTTTTGGTCGACTCGTACTTAATAACGAATCACTTGGTGCGGTGTGCATGTATCATCAGTGTAATCTTCTCATTGTTGTTATTATTCTTGTCGTACGGCTGATAGGCAGATGCAGAGCAACGGCTACAATGTCACATTCGGGATTCGCGTGGTGAGGCCAGAGAGCCGCGTCAGTGCGGGAGACCAAGGCGGTCCGGCGTGTTGGTGTTGGCCACCCAACTCCACCCCCCCCACCTCCTCTTCGGGCACCTTGTGCCAGCCTGATGGCGCTCGCCCCGGCAGCCTGTTCAAGTTTTTAACGCCGGGGGGATCTTCGTATTGTGTGCAGTGACGCTGTACGACTGCTCCAAGGTGCAGACGGACTGCAGCGAGTGCGCGGTCTCGGATGCGCGCTACGGCTGCGTGTGGTGCGCCCACTCGTGCCGCTACAACGAGAGCTGCGCCGCAGTCTCCCCCGAGTGTCCGGGGCCCATGGTGAAATCGGTGAGCGCCGCCACCGTCGCTCCGCACACCGCACGCGGTGCCTCCGCGCTGCCCAGCGCTCACCCAAGCCCCGCTAGGGCTGCTACTACCCATGGGTGGGAAAAACCCGATTTCTCCAGCGGCAGGCATCGGGTTTTTTCTTTGATACAATTAAACCCGATTTCGGTGAATTAAAACCTGGTTTAGGCTGCTTCCTCGTCGGTGCTACTATCGTACTCGGGGGGCCGTTGGGCACGGGGTAGTCGTAGAATGTGGCGGGCAGGTTGGTCTTGATGGACACGAGCTTCTCCACAATCGTGGGCGCCGCCAGTAAGTTCCTTAGCTTGGAATGGATGAAGCCCATCGTTGCGAAGTTGGCGAAGTGCGGCTCTGCAATTAGAACCAATTAATCCGGATTTCTCCCAATCTCAGATGATCGGGTTTAATATAAAAAGACAATAAAACCCGATTGTAAAAAACCCGACTGTGCCACCCTTGGTACTACGCCCAGTAACCGGGCTGCACATAATGACAACACGTTATCCGCCGTGGCCTCACAAGGCCGGCACCACACAGTGACATTCAGTCACTACATGTGTATGTTGAACTTCTTTCACACCATACGTAGCCAACATGCTAATCGGAGGTGTGGGAAATTATCATTGTTGTCATCACCATCGTCATGGTCGGCATCTTCGTCATCACCACCACCGTCGCCATTATCATCATCATCGTCGTCATCACCATCATCACCACCATCGCCATCATCATCATCATCGTCGTCATCACCATCATCATCATCGCGGGAGCCATAGCCATCATTGTCGTTAGCACCATCACCATGGTCGCCATCATCGTCATCGATGACGAAGTTGGCGACCATGATGATGGTGCTTAGTTGATTAATCGTCCTCGCTGTTATCATCGTCATGATCATCACCTACCGGACCCCATCAACCAATCGGCTCTTTGACTGGGCGAACGCTATTGGCCAATCGGTGGAGATCGCCTTCCCTGCACGCGATCCCATTGGCCAATCGGTGATGACCTCCGTTCTTGCACAGCCCTCATCGGCCAATAGGCGATTTCCTCCTCTTTTTTTTTTTTTAAGGTCTTGGCATCAGCCAATCGGCAGTGGCCTCTTCTGAGCCTTGCAGTTCTTGCGAGCCAATGAGTGACGCGCGTCTCTCTCTCTCCCGTGGGATTGTGGGTAACAGATCGAGCCACACACGGGCGTGCTGGAGGGCGGCACCATCCTCACCGTGCACGGCTCCGACCTCGGACGCTCTTTTGAAGAGGTAACCGCAGCGCGGGCGACGAGGTGGGAGTGATGAGGTGGATGTATTGAAGAGCGTGTGATGATGTCAGAATCAGAGTATTTATACTGGAGAAATCCGATGAACTATAAAGCTCTTTTTCACAGATATCTAGCAGGGGCAGGTAAGACTGTTACAACAACAAACGGTACATAAACACGATAGGGGTTCAAAGTACAAGAAAGGTAAACAAATCACCCAAACACATACAAATTAAACTAAACCATTCCCATCCTACCAGGCAAAGCCCACTGAGGTATTAAATTATTCTTCAGAAGCGACCCTGGGCCGCAAATGATAGCTCAACAAAGTGGGTCACTTGGACATTTATCGCAGCAAAATCATCTAAAATATTTATCTCAATACATGTTTGTAAACATGGAGAAAAAAATCCACGTGACCACGGGGAGAGAGACACGCAAACTCCAGATATTACAGCAGCAGGCGTCAGGGTCGGGATCAAATCCACAACATCCTGTATACCATATTCTTGAATCTTTCGGTAAAGTCACATAGAAGGGAAATAATAAAAGAATAAAATAAAACATCATAAAATTCTCACGTTTCGGCCACAACACAAGCAGCCATCCTCAGGTGAAGAAAAGAGCTGTTCCTCACCTGAGGACTTTACTGAAAAGATCCAAGAATATGAATCCCTGCAGTCATGAAAGCTTTAAATCGAAATTAAATCCTGTATACCAGGCGAGGGAGTTAACATCTCCTAGCCACCGTGCAAAGTGGTGACAAACAGGTGTCTGGGTCGGGATCGAACCCACGACCTCCTGCACACCAGGCGATGAGGCGGGAATGATGAGGTGGATGTGATGAGGTGGGAGTGACGGGGTGGCGGTAAGGCATTGGACGAGGTGTGCGGCGTTGCTGTGCTGTGCAGGTGGTGTCAGTGCTGGTTGGGAGCAAGCCGTGCGTGCCGCTGCAAGACCTCTACAGAGTCTCCAAGAGGTTCCGCTCGCTCGCTCACTCACGTCACTCGCTCACTGTCACTCACTCCTCACTCACTCAAATTGCTCGCTCACTCACTCGCTCGATCACTCGCTGACTCACTCCCTCGCTTGCTCAGTCGCTCGCTCGCTCACTGTCATTCACTCCCTCAAATTGCTCGCTCGCTCGCTCGCTCACTCACTCGCTGACTCACTCGCTCGTTCTCATTCAGTCTGTCACTTGCTCAGTCAACCACTCACTCAATGACTCTTTGACTCGTTCAGTGCCTCACTCGGTCACTCACTTGCACGCTCACTCGCTCAGTCGCTCCCTTAGTCACTCACTCAGTAACTCACTTGCTCGATCACTCACTGGGTCACTCACTTAGTCACTCACTTGCACGCTCACTCGCTCAGTCACTCGCTTAGTCACTCACTCAGTCACTTACTTGCTCGATCACTCACTGGGTCACTCGCTTAGTCACTCACTTGCATGCTCACTCGCTCAGTCACTCACTTAGTCACTCACTCAGTCACTCACTTGCTCGATCACTCACTGGGTCACTCGCTTAGTCACTCACTTGCACGCTCACTCGCTCAGTCACTCACTTAGTCACTCACTCAGTCACTCACTTGCTCGATCACTCACTGGGTCACTCGCTTAGTCACTCACTTGCACGCTCACTCATTTGAGGCATTCGCTCGCTAATTCGAATGCTCACATGCTGACACCCATACATGCCCTTCACACACACAAAGATCTCCCATATAGCCTTAACATACTTTTTGTGGCAAGCGCTGTTAGGGAGTACCTATGAAGGCCGGCACTGCACACGAGGGGGTGGGTGGCCAACTCCACACATACACCTACGCTCGCTCACTCCCACAATCTCTCACTCACACACCTACTAACTTGAGATACTGCTGCTGATGATGCTGCTGTTGTTGCTTCTGTTGATGTTGCTCCTGCTGATGCTATTGATGATGCTGTTGTTGCTGATGATACTGCTGCTGCTGTTGCTTCTGTTGAAATCGCTCCTGCTGATGCTGCTGATGATGCTGTTCCTGCTTATGACGTTGCTGCTGCTGATGTTGCTTCTGTTGACGTTGCTCCTGCTGATGCTATTGATGATGCTGTTGTTGCTGATGATACTGCTGCTGCTGTTGCTTCTGTTGAAATCGCTCCTGCTGATGCTGTTGATGATGCTGTTCCTGCTTATGATGCTGCTGCTGCTGCTGATGTTGCTTCTGTTGACGTTGCTCCTGCTGCCGCTATTGATGATGCTGTTGCTTCTGCTGCCGCCGCTGCTGCCCACAGAATCGTGTGCACGACGGGCAGCGCGGACAGCGCCGGCGATGTGGCGGTGGTGGTGGAGATCGCCGATCGAGCGCCGGCCTCGTTCGAGCACTTTACGTACCAGGCAAGGTCACGGCGGGGTCAGAGTTACGGTTAAGTTCAGGGTAGAGACTCCCTCTCCCGCGTGCAGTTGTGACTACGAACTCCACACCGTGGGTCATGTGGCCTCGCACTGCTGGGGCAGCGCGAGGCTACACGGGTCATTTGGCGGTTGGGTGGGTGACTGGGCGGTTGGGTGGGTGGGTGACTAGGCCGGTAGGTGGGTGAGGTGGCGGGTGGATTTGTGTGTAGGTGGGTAGGTGAGTGGGTGGCTTGGTTTGTAAATGGGTGGGTGAGTGGGTGGGTTGGTCGGTGAGTGAGTGGGTGGGTGGGTGAGTGGGTGGGTGAGTGGGTGGGTGGGTGGGTGAGTGGGTCGGTGGGTGGGTGAGTGAGTGAGTGAGTGAGTGGGTGGGTGGGTGAGTGGGTGAATGGGTGCGTGGGTGAGTGAGTGAGTGAGTGGGTGAGTGGGTGAGTGAGTGAGTGAGTGGGTGGGTGGGTGGGTGGGTTGGTCAGTGGGAGGACGGGTGGGTGGGTGTATCTATAATTCGCCAACTCTCAGACTTTCGAGCTGAGCCTCTCAGTTTCTCTGCACAGCCCGCGCGACGGCGAGCTTCATTAGCGTTGTGACATCACGAGTTGTCTCCCCCGGCAGAGTCCCTTCATCACGAAGCTGGAACCGAGTGAGGGGCCGGTCGAGGGAGGAACCCGCATCACCATCTTCGGGAAGCACCTGCTGACGGGAAACCGGGAACTCATCGCCGCCTTCATCGGGGACAGCCCGTGCAGGTGAGCACCTGGGTTGGTGACGGTGGTGACGATGGTGACGGCGGTGATCGTGATGATGGTGGGGATTATAATGACGATGACGGTGGTGGTGAGGATGTTGGTGACGATGTTGACGTAGCTGCGATGGTGGTGGTGGTTGCATCACCACAGCTGGCCGATATGCAAATGCCACATACACACACACCTGTGATCACGATGCCACCTCTGACGACGATGTCGTGCGGTGTCGGTGCCGCGCAGCGATCTGCGCATGGTGGGGGTGGAGGAGGAGGCGACCCTCGAGTGCTCCACGCCCAAGGTGCAGGAGAAGGTCTCCGTCGCCGTCAGCCTGCGCTACGGCGGCACCAGCGTCTCCAACGCCAGCGCCGAGGTCTTCGAGTACAAAGAAAACCCAATCATCAACGACTTCAACCCCAAAAGCAGCTTCTATGGGTACCGCCCCTCCCGCCCCCTCCACCCCCTCCACACCCCCCGCACACATGATGACGATGCTGCTGCTGACGATGATGATGAGTGTGTGATCGGCGCGGGGTTGCGGTTGCTGTGTTTGCAGGGGCGGCCGCGTGATCACGGTGAGCGGCTCGAAGCTGAACACGGCGCTGAAGATGTCCATGGAGGTGGAGGTGCAGCTCCCACGCCGGCGGCGCTCCCTGCACCCCTCCACAGTGAGACACAGAGACTCCCTCCCCCTCCCTCCCTCCCTCCCTCCCTCCCTCCCTCCCTCCCTCCCTCCCTCCCTCCCTCCCTCCCTCCCTTTCCTCCACTCCCTCCCACTCCACTCCCTTCCACTCCGCTCCCCTCCCACTCCAGCCCCCTCCACTCCATTCCCCTCCCTCCCCTCCCTCCCCTCCCTCCCTCCCTCCCCCCTCCCTCCCTCCCTCCCTCCCTCCCTCCCTTTCCTCCACTCCCTTCCACTCCACACCCCTCCCACTCCGCTCCCCTTCCCTCCACTCCCCTCCCTCCCTCTCCCTCCACTCTCTCCCTCCCTGCACTCCTACACTCCTGCAGGTGATGGGTGGTGATGGTGGTGATGGCGGGAGTGGTTGTAGTTCTGGTGATAAGTGTTCATGACTGGTGGTGATGGTCATGGTAGTAGTGGTGCTTATGACGCCGATACCGATCGGCATGACGCTTGTGGTGATGCTGCTGCCGCCATTGATGACAACGACGGTGCCGCTGATGATGCCGTCTCGTCCGCCCCCTCCCCCGCCCCGTGGTCAGATCTCGAGTCCCTGCGAGTTCCGCTCGGCGGATGAGGCCCTGTGCCCCTCCCCCACCGTGCCGGACGGCTCGACGGTGCTCCGCTCCTGGTTCCAGCTGGACGGGTTCCGCAGCGACGTCACGTCGCTCCTGACGTACGAGGAGAACCCCCTGCTGTGCCGGCCCGGCACCGCGCCCTACGTCATCAACGGCCACAACATCCTGACCATCAAGGTAGCGCGCCGCGTGCCGCGTGCCGCGTGCCGCGTGCCGCGTGCCGCGTGCCGCGTGCCGGCAGCATCGCCCGCCCTGCGCTCGGTCGCCACACCGCAGGTCACGGCAACTCACCCGCAGTCGCTTGCTCACTCGCTCGCTCGCCCATCAACCCACGCACTCACCCAGTCACTCGCTCACACCTACCCACTCACCCAGTCACTCACTCACACCTACCCACCCACTCACCCAGTCACTCACTCACACCTACCCACTCACTCACCCAGTCACTCGCTCACACCTACCCACTCACTCACCCGTCCACACCCACTCACCCATTCACTCACTCACACCTACCCACCCACTCACCCGTCCACACCCACTCACCCAGTCACTCACTCACACCCACTCACAGCCACCAACTCACTCACCCAGTCACTCACTCACACCCACTCACAGCCACCAACTCACTCACCCGTTCACACCCACTCACCCAGTCACTCACTCACACCCACTCACAGCCACCAACTCACTCACCGGTGTTGGCCGTGGGTGGGACTCAAACTCGGATCGCCGGGTTCGTCGCGCAGCGTAGCGCTAAACGCTACACCACCGCTCCCCCACTACCGCTCACTCGCCCACTCACCCACACTGAGTCCGTGGGACTCTATTTCAGGAGGGGTCCTGCATTGGGTGTTCATTTTAATGCGATTCAGCAGCAGGATAAAAACCCACGCGCAATAATAACCTCGCTCGGTTCAAGAAGCGAAAACTTGCGCTCTAACCGAGCGTCTCGTATGCCCATGCCGGCCTTCATAGGTGCTACTCCTTAACAGCACTTACCCCAAAAATCTGTTAAGGCTATACGGCGGGATCTTTGTCTTTGTGTGTGAAGGGCATGTATGGGTATCAGGGTGTGAGCATTCGAATGAGCAAACAAACGTGTGAGTGAGTGAACGAGCGAGTGAGCGTGTGACTAAGCGAGCGATCCAGTGAGTGACTGTACGAGCAAGAGATTGATCAAGCGAGTGAGTGACTGAGCGAGCGTGCGAGCTAGTGATTGAGTGAGTGACTGAGTGAGTGATTCAGTGACTGAGCGAGCGTGCGAGCTAGTGATTGAGTGAGTGACTGAGTGAGTGATTCAGTGACTGAGCGAGCGTGCAAGCTAGTGATTGAGTGAGTGACTGAGTGAGTGATTCAGTGACTGAGCGAGCGTGCGAGCTAGTGATTGAGTGAGTGACTGAGTGAGTGATTCAGTGACTGAGCGAGCGTGCAAGCTAGTGATTGAGTGAGTGACTGAGTGAGTGATTCAGTGACTGAGCGAGCGTGCGAGCTAGTGATTGAGTGAGTGACTGAGTGAGTGATTCAGTGACTGAGCGAGCGTGCGAGCTAGTGATTGAGTGAGTGACTGAGTGAGTGATTCAGTGACTGAGCGAGCGTGCGAGCTAGTGATTGAGTGAGTGACTGAGTGAGTGATTCAGTGACTGAGCGAGCGTGCGAGCTAGTGATTGAGTGAGTGACTGAGTGAGTGATTCAGTGACTGAGCGAGCGTGCGAGCTAGTGATTGAGTGAGTGACTGAGTGAGTGATTCAGTGACTGAGCGAGCGTGCAAGCTAGTGATTGAGTGAGTGACTGAGTGAGTGATTCAGTGACTGAGCGAGCGTGCGAGCTAGTGATTGAGTGAGTGACTGAGTGAGTGATTCAGTGACTGAGCGAGCGTGCAAGCTAGTGATTGAGTGAGTGACTGAGTGAGTGATTCAGTGACTGAGCGAGCGTGCGAGCTAGTGATTGAGTGAGTGACTGAGTGAGTGATTCAGTGACTGAGCGAGCGTGCGAGCTAGTGATTGAGTGAGTGACTGAGTGAGTGATTCAGTGACTGAGCGAGCGTGCGAGCTAGTGATTGAGTGAGTGACTGAGTGAGTGATTCAGTGACTGAGCGAGCGTGCGAGCTAGTGATTGAGTGAGTGACTGAGTGAGTGATTCAGTGACTGAGCGAGCGTGCGAGCTAGTGATTGAGTGAGTGACTGAGTGAGTGATTCAGTGACTGAGCGAGCGTGCGAGCTAGTGATTGAGTGAGTGACTGAGTGAGTGATTCAGTGACTGAGCGAGCGTGCGAGCTAGTGATTGAGTGAGTGACTGAGTGAGTGATTCAGTGACTGAGCGAGCGTGCGAGCTAGTGATTGAGTGAGTGACTGAGTGAGTGATTCAGTGACTGAGCGAGCGTGCGAGCTAGTGATTGAGTGAGTGACTGAGTGAGTGATTCAGTGACTGAGCGAGCGTGCGAGCTAGTGATTGAGTGAGTGACTGAGTGAGTGATTCAGTGACTGAGCGAGCGTGCGAGCCAGTGATTGAGTGAGTGACTGAGTGAGTGATTCAGTGACTGAGCGAGCGTGCGAGCTAGTGATTGAGTGAGTGACTGAGTGAGTGATTCAGTGACTGAGCGAGCGTGCGAGCTAGTGATTGAGTGAGTGACTGAGTGAGTGATTCAGTGACTGAGCGAGCGTGCGAGCTAGTGATTGAGTGAGTGACTGAGTGAGTGGTTCAGTGACTGAGCGAGCGTGCGAGCTAGTGATTGAGTGAGTGACTGAGTGAGTGATTCAGTGACTGAGCGAGCGTGCGAGCTAGTGATTGAGTGAGTGACTGAGTGAGTGATTCAGTGAGTGAGTGAGCGAGCGACTGACGGGGGGGGGGGGTCTTTTTGCCTCCGTTCGTCCTCAGGGCCAGAACCTGAACAAGGCCATGGATAAGGAGGAGGTGGAGGTGACCATCGGCGAGGAGCAGTGCAAGGTGGAGATGATGGACAGCTCCTCCCTCTACTGCAAGCCCCCGCTCACCCAGCCCAGCGCCAGGGCCGGCGGCGACGAGGCTGGCTACGGGCAGGAGGAGGAGGTCAGTAGTCACGTTGCACGTGGACCTCTGTGTGCACGTGGACCTCTGTGTGCACGTGGACCTCTGTGGGCACGTGGACTTGGAAGAAGTTGTCACCCCCTGTGAGTGGCTTGCTGAAGTGCCATCTGCTCCAGAGTCTGAGACCAAGAAAAGCGCCGGGCAGAGATTATCTCCCAAGCGAAATGCTGAGGGAGGGTGGCATTTGTGTGCAGACTCCCCTATATGACATCATAATAACAGTCTGGCCCACTGGATGGGTTCCGCAGGATTCATAGGATGCCCTGGTGGTTCCCCTCTTTAATAAGGGGGACCGCACAGCCTGTAACAACTACAGGGGCATCTCTCTCCTCAGTGTGCCAGGCAAGGATTATTGAACATCGCCTTGCTAGGCATGCTGAGGGGAGAGGCTTGCGGAGCCCCAATGTGGTTTCAAGTCAGGTCGATCCTGCACAGATTCCATATTTTCTGTCCTTCAGCTACAGCAGAGGTGCAGGAAATTCCAACAGGACCTACATCTCTGCTTTATTGACCTTGTCAAGGCCTATGATACCATCAATAGATCTGGGCTTTGGGTTGTTTTTCGTTCTTGGTTGTGCTGGAGGAATCTCAATTTGGTACAGATACAATGGGAGACTGATCGATGCCTGGGTGTGGTCAAGGGATGCCTCCCTATTGGTCAACCATGTTATGTATGCCGGTGATCTGGTGATTTCTGCTCACCCAGAGGAGGAGCTGGAGGCGCTGCTTCTGAACCTGGAACATGCCAAAACTAAGCACCTGTCTGGATATTTTGTGCCATCAAACACTCGAAACCCCCTCAGCTCCCCATTGGTAATGGGACAGTTGTAGAGAGAGTGGAGAGTTTTCCATACCTCGGCAATGTACTCATGACCAGCTCCGGTTTCACAGCTGAGGTCTCATGTCGAATCAGTCGAGTGGCATCTTTTCATCGGCTGTGTAACGCTGTGTGGAAGCTACCTGGTCGGTCGCTCAACACGAAACTTTGGGTCTTCTTGGCCACGGTCATGCCCTCCCTTCTTTATACTTGCAAAACATGGACCCCCCTAATGGAACATCTTCGCCGGTTAGACACATTTAGGCCTGCCCCACGATCCATCCTGGGTTTAACCAGGCTGGATTGTGTGAGAAGCTCACAAATCCTTGAAAGATCTCGACAAAGTCCCATCGGTGAGCTCCTCCTGCAGGCAAGGCTGCATTGGCTGGGTCATGTAGCCCACATGCCCAGCCACCGCATACCTAAACAGATTTTTATTTACGCGATCTAACCCAAAAAACTTGTATTATAGATGATGTTGGTCGCAAAAGCCTACGTGTTAAACTATAAACAGCTTTTGTTTGGCCGGATAGAGAGGGCTCAACGGGTGCGGCATGGGGTAGAGAAGAGATGGAGTGATGTGGTACAAGAGGATTTGGAGCTGAGTGGACTTGCCAATGACTGGTACCAGCGGTATCACGATCGGCCCCTGTGGAGGAGGCTTGTGAAGGACGCTACTGGCCAGTTGGAGGCAGTCGCTCTCCAGCAACAACGGAGATCAGAGGAGCGACGCTCACAACAACGAGCGGAACACCGGTCGGCTAAAGCACAGCAAGTTGGCACAGTAGGGGGCACAGGTGGTGCATCGGCCACTCATCTCAGTCAGTCAACCCATGGCACCTGGGTCTGCCCTATGAGCTCCTGCCACCAGGCGTTCGACACTTCACGTGGCCTTAACGTGCACTTAGCCTGGCACAAGCGCCGTGGTTACATCACCGCTGCTTTGTGACGAATAGCGGTTGTTGTGTCTCTGTCTCACTCTGTGTGCGTGTCTCTCTGTCCATGTGTAGATTATCGACCGTTCTCTGAACTGCACGTTGGCCACTTCCTCCACCTCCCGGCGGCGCCAGCGTCGAGACGGTGACGGCGACCTCCCCCAGCTCATAGTGCGTGTGGCCTCCCCCCCCCCCTCTCTCGCACACAGACAAAGATCCCCCCTATAGCCTTCAACCCATTGCTGGGGCAAGTGCTGCAAGCCGGCGCCATCTGATGGTGGCACGGCACGCGAAGGGATGGGTGGCCAGCACCGTGCCCATTTGTTTCCCCAGTGGCGATGTTTTTACATGCAGCACCAGGCACTCATTTAAGGCCAAGTCGACCTAGGGAGAGACCCAGATCCTGCTTAGGTATCCGTCACCAATGTTGGCCACGAGCGAGAATCTTCGGGTATTCGCATCGCGGCGTGCTGACCGCTGCGCCACCGCTCCCTGGGTGTGGTGCTGGCCGCAGTTACTCCGTCATATCCCGTGGCGGCCTTCGCAGGTGGTGTGCAGAGGAGGCGGCGGCGGCAGTCGCCCTCCAGCATCAGCGGAGGGCGGATGAGCGACGCGGGATTGTGTGAGGGGCTCGCAGGTCCTTGAAATATCTTGGCACATTCCCATCGGCGAGCTCCTCCGGTGGGCGAGGCTGCGTTCGGCTGGGTCGTGTAGCCCGCATGCCCAAGCCATTGCATACTCATGTGGGGAACGGTAGTGTAACGGTTAGCGCTACGCCCCGCTACGAACCCGGCGACCCGAGTTTCGATGCCCGCTCACGGCCAACACCGGTGACGATAATTAATTTGACCCGATCCTGGGCCTCCCCTAGGTCGACTCAGCCTCAAATGAGTACCTGGTGTGGTGTGTAAACATCAGCACTGAGAAGACAAAGACAGCCGGATGTGGTGCTGGCCACCCACCCCCTTCTGTGCCATTCCGGCCTTAATAGCTGCTTGTAACAGCACTTGCCCCAATAATCTGTTAAAGGCAATACGGGGGATCTTTATTTCCTCTTCGTTGTGTGTGTATATAGTTGTGTATACTTATGTGTACACATTTACGAGCGTGCACACATGCGTGTGAGTGTATGCCTTTATACACATGCATATACGTGCGTGTGTGCGTGTGTAAATATGTCTGTGCACGTGTGCGTGTACGCATGTACGGGCGTGTACACGTGTGTGTGAGTGTGTGTTTGCCACTTCACGTAGCCTCAAAGTGCATCTGGCCTGGCACAGGCGCCGTGGTGACGTTACCGAATGACGGGTATATATGTATGTGTGCGTGTGTGTGTACGTGTGTGTGTACGTGTGTGTGTACGTGTGTGTGCGTGTGTGTAGGTGCACATGGGCGTGCTGCGCTTCCCGCTGGGCCGCGTGCGCTACTCGACGGGGGACGGCCTGCTCTCCAAGGGGGCTATCGCCGGCATTGCCGTGGGCCTCCTCCTGCTGCTACTCGCCATCATCGCCCTCATTCTCCTCCTCCGGTCACTGCTCACCTCCACTCCCGCCACCTCCTCTTCTGCCTCCTCTCCCGCCTCGTCTTGTCCCCCTGTCCCCCTCCTCTTCTCCCGCCACCTCCTCCTCTCCCGCCTCCTACTCGCCAGTATCGTAGAGTCGCGTCGTGGGAATTGCATTGCGGTTGACATTGTCGTGGGTTCACTTGAGAGACGCACCGATTCAGGAGGCAACACCGTTTATTCTGCGACCACAACGGGGTAGCTACACAAACGGGTCGGGTCAGGTCAGGCGGCACACTGCCTCACCCACGATGCCGAGCACGAAGACCAAAGAGGAGACGCAGCACGGCAGGTTCCATATGCCCCTCAGCGTGGCCCCGCTCCGCCCTCGGACACGCCCCCATCCAGAGCCTCCTAGAAGGTTCTGGAGCGCCTTCCACGTGTCCCCTCCCTGGCTCCGCCCTGGGCCACGCCTCCTTATGGAACTCACTAGAACATGCCCCCTCTGTCACCTTTGGCCTACATCCCATCACGTGTCCCTGCCGGCCAATCGGACTACTACGTCCTCAGTTGTCCCCTACTCTGCCAGCCCCAGAGACCTCTTCCATGACATCATTTCCTCTGCTGGCAGAGAGGGCCACCATACCCACCATTCCGCTCTCTGTCGGTAGATGGTGCTAGGCGCCGTAGTGACCCATTGTATGTCACTACAACATCGTTGATGCAAGTGCTGTTGACATGATTAACGTTGTTGTCGTCGTTGTGGTGGTCGTGTGGTGGTGGTGACGCTGGCTCGCCGTGCAGACACAACGCCAACCGCGAAAAGGAGAAGATCCTCATGGAGATGACCAGGATGGAGGACAAAGTGCGGGACATGGTGCGGCGCGAGTTCGCAGGTGACTCCCCCTTCCCTCCCCCCTTCCCTCCCCCCTTCCCTCCCCCCTTCCCTCCCCCCTTCCCTCCCCCGTTGCCCCACTACCTCCCCCCCGGCCGCCTCCCCCCCTCCCCCCCACCAACTCTTGGCAGCGGTGCATCGGTGGCGGTGTGCTGGGGTTGGACAAGGATAGCCGGTGGACGTGACGGTGCAGATTACCGCGATGCGGATTGTCATGGTGCTGCTTCCCATGCCACTGCTAAACCAAACCGTGAACACGTTTTTTTTTTATGTTACCAGGCAAGGGCCTACTGAGCTGTGTAGATTTTTTTTGTTTAACTGCTCAACAACTTTGCATGGGATTCGCCTCCCAGTTGCATCCATTCGTTCAAGTCGCGAAAACTACTAAATTATCAAACCGTTTTTTCTTTTACCAGGCAAGGCCCCACCCGAGCTACAGTAGCTCTGTTTATCATTACACGCTTTTATTTAACTCGCTGTCTGTTGCCGTATCCTCAAATCTTGTAACTCAATTTTAACCCACTTCCCAATGTCGTTTCGACTGCAAACTTGGTATACTTATGTCATACTGATGACAATACTGTATTCTATCATTAAAACTTTTTTTTTTAAACCATCTCTTTTATATCTTATGTTTCGGCTTGGGTCTAATTGTCCACGCTCAACTGACATTGGCTGTAAATGACCACGGCCACTTACGTTATGGCAAGCCTCGCGGCCGCTTCCTGGAGTCGTGCCATTAGGAGTACGTTACATTTCATTAAAACGTGGTTTAAAAAAAGTATTTTAAATATTACTTACTCAGAAGTGAGCTGGCTATCACAAATGATGGCTCAACGAAGTGGCTTGCCACGACGTGGCAATGCGTATCAGCCAATTACTCCTCAACACGTGATGCTGATTCTAAATGTGGAAGGGAGAAACCGGAGGACACAGACAAATCCACGCGATTACGAGTAGAGAGAGAGAGCCTCTAAACATACAGCAGGCGCCAAGGGTCGCGATCGTTGCCACGATGTTGTATCTACGTACGTTGAACTTCTATCGCACCGTATGTAGCCAACCTCTGCTAATTGATGCCGGTCGCTGTGATGCTCGGTCGCCGTGACGACGGTCGCCATGACGCCCCCCCCCCTCCTGACGGCCGGTCTCCTCCGTGCGCCGACTCCGCCAGACCTTGTGACGGACATGTCGGACCTCGACGTGCTGGTGGACGAGACGGGCATCCCCTTCCTCGAGTACCACCGCTACGTGGAGCGCATCTTCTTCCCGGGGCAGCAGCAGCTGCTGTGCGAGGGGGCGGCGCCTCCTCCCGCGTCGCCCTCGTGGGACGCGGCGCTCACGGGCTTCCACAACCTGCTCAACAGCAAGCTCTTCCTCATCAAGGTACGTCGGCGCTGTCAGCTTCGGTGAGCCCGGCGCGCCTGGTGCGGGGCGGGAGGGGAAAGCTGGTCGCGGGGTCGCGGGGTCACGGGGTCGCGGGGTCACGGGGTCACGCGCCAAACTGGGCCGGAGTTGAGCGGAGTCCGACCGTCTCGCGGGCCAGGGTGTGCGGTCGATAGCTCAACGGGCGAGGTGCTGGGTACCCTCGACGAGGTTACGAGAGGTGTCTGTGTGTACGCGCTGTACGTAGCCAGAGAGAGACACACAGACCCACAGGCTCACAGAGTGAGACACACGCAGAGAGACACACTCACAGAGTGAGACACACAGACAGAGAGACACACACAGAGTGAGACAAACAGACAGAGAGACACACAGAGTGAGACGTACACAGAGAGACACACACACAGAGTGAGACACACACACAGAGTGAGACACACACACAGAGTGAGACACACACACAGATAGACACACACACAGAGTGAGACACACGGACAGAGAGACAAACACAGAGTGATACACACACAGAGTGAGACACAGAGAGACACACACAGAGTGAGACACACAGAGAGACACACAGAGTGAGACACACGGACAGAGAGACACACACACAGAGAGACACACACAGAGAGACACGCACACAGAGTGAGACGCAATCTAAATCGAGCGGAGTGCGTGTGTACGTATCTGTGCGGTGGTGTAGTGGTCAGCGCTACGCTGCGCTACGAACTCGGCGACCCGAGTTCAATTTCCGCTCGCAGCCACCAACACCGGTGACGATTATCTGAACCGGTCATGGGCCTCTCCTAGGTCGACTCAGCCTCAAAATGAATACCGTGGGAAATGAAAACAGCGCCACTAGGGAGACAAAGGCAACCGTGCGTGGTGCTGGCCACCCACCCCCTCGTGTGCCATGCCGGCCTTCATAGGTGCTTGCTAACAGCACTTGCCCCAACAGCCTGTTAAGGCTATACAGGGGATCTTTGTGTGTATCTCAGTGTGTATCTCTGTATGTCTCTGTGTGTCTGCCTACCTGTCTGTCTGTGAGTGTCTCTGTGTGTCTGTCTGTCTGTGTGTCTGTGTGTGTCTGTCTGTCTGTGAGCATCTCTGTGTGTCTGTCTGTGTGTCTCTGTGTGTGTCTCTGTGTGTCTGTCTGCCTGTCTGTCTGTGTCTGTCTGTGAGTGTCTCTGTGGGTGTGTCTGTCTGTGTGTGTCTCTGTGTGTCTGTCTGTCTGTGTGTCTCTCTGTGTGTCTGTCTGTGAGTGTCTCTGTGTGTCTCTGTGTGTCTGTCTGCCTGTGTGTCTCTGTGTGTCTGTCTGTGTGTGTCTCTGTGTGTCTGCCTGTCTGTGTGTGTCTCTGCCTGCCTGCCTGTCTGTGTGTGTCTGTGTGTGTCTGTCTGTCTGTGAGTGTCTCTGTGTGTCTGTCTGTCTGTGTGTGTCTCTGTGTGTCTGTGTGTGTGTCTGTCTGTGTGTCTGTCTGTGTGTTTGTCTGTGTGCTTCTCTGTGTGTCTGCCTGTGTGTGTCTCTGTGTGTCTGTCTGCCTGTCTGTCTGTGTCTCTCTGTGTCTATCTGTCTGTGTGCCTGTGTGTGTCTCCCCCCCCCCCCCCGCCCGCTCCGCTCCGCTCCTCCGTGCAGTTCATCCAGACTCTGGAGATGCAGCATGGCGGCGTGAGCCAGGCGCACTGTGGGCGCATCGCGTCGCTCGTCACCGTGGTGCTGCACGACAAGCTCGAGTACTACACGGACATCCTCAAGACGCAGCTCGTCGCCATCATCGACAACGACGTCGAGACCAAGCCCAAGCTGCTCTTCCGCCGGTGAGCGCCGCCGTCGCCACCGTCGTCGTCGTAGCGGGAATCTTGATTATGACACGCTTTTATTTAACTCACTTCGTCTGTTGTCGTATTCTCAAAAAAAAAATCTTGTAGCTCAACTTTTACACACTTCCCAATGTGCTATCGACTGCAAACTTCGTATAGGTATGTCAGACTGATGACAACACGATATTCTATCATAAAAATCAAAAACATATATTTTATAACTTTTTACACGCTTTTATTTAACTTACTGTATGTGTTGCCGTATCCAAAAATCTTATAACTCAATTTCAACCGTATTCCCAATGTCGTATCGACTGCAAACTTCGTATAGCTATGTCATACTGAGGACAACACGATATTCTATAATTGAAAATTTAAAATATATAATTTTAAACAATCTTTTTAACGGCTCTAATTGTCTACGCTCAACTCACATTGCCTGTAAATCACCACGTGGTCCCTGACGTCACGGCAAGCCTCGGGGAGCCACGCCCAGGGGCGGGGGATGTGGAAGGAGGGGGGGGGGCGATGGGGGAAGGGGGCAGGGGGAGGGGCAGCTCGGATAGTACATTTCATTAAAGCGTGTTTAAAAAAAAGAGTATTTTTAAATATTTTATTTACACTGGAGGTGCCATCGCTACCCTCCACTAGATTATCGGCCGTTGCAAGGTCTGATGGGGCACGGTAATCTCTCTCTAGACTGGAGGAAGAAATCTGATGAGCGGTGAAGCTCTTTTTAAACAGATGCCCAGCAAGGAGCCACGGGCTCAGAAATGTAAACAACAATCGGAGTACGGAGCATAGGAGAGGAAAGCAAACGGTATTAAAAAATAATATTAATATAAATATCTAAATATATAATATACATACGTAACACAAATGATGGAGTTCACAAGTTCCTCGCCGCGACGATGCTGACGACCGCACCGGGCGCTCATTCGAGTGCCAGCAAGGATTATCTGAACCGGTCTTGGGCCTCCCCTAGGTCGACTCGGCCTCAAATGGGGAACCTGGTGCAATGTGTACAAAAAGGCGGCCGGGCGTGGTGCTGGCCACCCACCCCCTCGTGCGCCGTTGCCGGCCTTTGATAGGTGCTGCTTGCTAACAGCATTTGCCCCTACAGTCTGTTGAGGCTACACGGGGGGGGGGGGTTCGTTGTGTTGGGTGTTGGGGGCGGGCGGTGCGTGACCGCAGGGAGCTGTTCACCCTCTTGCAGGACGACGACGGTGGCTGAGAAGATGTTGACGAACTGGATGTCGATCTGCCTCTACACGCACCTGCGGGTGAGCGTCCTTGTGGCAACGGTGTTACCACTGCGTCCTCGTGGCAACGGCGTTACCACTGCGTCCTCGTGGCAACGGCGTTACCACAGCGTCCTCGTGGCAACGGTGTTACCACAGCGTCCTCGTAGCAACGGCGTTACCACAGCGTCCCCGTGGCAGCGGCGTTACCACAGCGTCCTCGTGGCAACGGCGTTACCACAGCGTCCTCGTGACAACGGCGTTACCACAGCGTCCCCGTGGCAACGGCGTTACCACAGCGTCCTCGTGGCAACGGCGTTACCACAGCGTCCTTGTGGCAACGGCGTTACCACAGCATCCTCGTGGCAACGGTGTTACCACAGCGTCCTCGTATCAACGGCGTTACCACAGCGTCCTCATGGCAACGGTGTTACCACAGCGTCCTCGTGGCAACGGCGTTACCACAGCGTCCTCGTAGCAACGGCGTTACCACAGCGTCCTCGTGACAACGGCGTTACCACAGCGGCCTCGTGGCAACGGCGTTACCACAGCGTCCTCGTGGCAACGGCGTTACCACAGCGTCCTCGTGACAACGGCGTTACCACAGCGTCCTCGTGACAACGGTGTTACCACAGCGTCCTCGTGGCAACGGCGTTACCACGGCGTCCTCGTGGCAATGGTGTTACCACAGCGTCCTCGTAGCAACGGTGTTACCACAGCGTCCTCGTGGCAACGGTGTTACCACAGCGGCCCCATGGCAACGGCGTTACCACTGCCGCAGGGTGGCAACGGTGGTAGTGCTCCTGCTTTACAGCATGGAGGGTCTGGGTTCGATTGTTGACTCGGGCGACTTGTCTGTGCGGGGCTTGTACACTCTCCCTCTGTTCTACAGAGAGAGTGAGTGAGAGTGAGCGTGTTGAGTCGGGCGTGGTGCTGGCCACCCGCCCCCATGTGCGCCGTGCCGGCCTTCACAGGTGCTACTCGCTAACGGCGCTTGCCCCAACAGTCTGTTAAGGCTACACGTGGGATCTTTGTCTTTGTGCAATGGAGTGAGTGTGAGCGAGTGAAGTTTGTCGGTTCTCCCTCTGTTCTGCAGAGTTGTGAGTGAGATTGAGTGAGTGTGTGCATGAAGTTTGCATGTTCTCCCCTTGTTCTGCAGAGTTGTGAGTGAGATTGAGTGAGTGTGTGTGAAGTTTGCTGGTTCTCCCCTTGTTCTGCGAGGGTTTCCTGCCGAGTTCTCCCAAGCTAGACACACACAATGTAACTGAAATGTAACTGAAATGTAACTGAAATGTAACTGAAATGTAACTGGTATTGGCCCAAAACGTTCCCAATGCTGGAAATGTTACCTGCACACAGCAACAGCAGCAACATCGCCGCGACCGCAATAAGCCTGGCAGGACCCTCCTGAAAAAGAGACTTGAGTCTCAGTGAGGCTTTCCTGGGTAAATTAGCAAAATAGTTAACAAAACAACTTATTATTACAGAGCACATTCACAGGTAACGAATCGGCACGACCTACATTCGATCACCTGACTCAACCCCCCCGTGTCCCTGTAACATCTCATCCTTTGTACGATCTCTCCTATCACCGCGGGTCTCCATGTCCCCCACGTGCCTGTGTCTCACCTTGGCCCCCCGTCTCTCGGTGTGCCCCCGTTTTGTCTCCGTGTCTCTCCGTGTCCTCGTGACCCCTCCCTGTGTCTCTCTGTGTCTCTCCGCGTGGCGGCGTGTCCCCACTCCCTCCCCGTGTGTCCCCTGTGTCTCTCCATGTCCCCGTGTCCCCGTGCATCTCCACTCCCTCCCCGTGTGTCCCCTGTGTCTCTCCATGTCCCCGTGTCCCCGTGCATCTCCACTCCCTCCCGGTGTGTCCCTGCAGGAGACGGGAGGCAAGCCGCTCTACATGCTGTTCAAGGCCATCAAGTACCACGTGGACAAGGGCCCCGTGGATGCGCTCATGCACAAGGCCAAGTTCACGCTGGACGAGAACTCGCTGCTCAAGAACAACATCGAGCACAAGGAGCTGGTGCGTGTGTGTGTGCACGTGTGTGAACGTGTGTGTGCGTGTGTGTGTGCGTGTGTGTGCGTGTGTGTGTGCGTGTGCATGTGTGTGTATGTGCGTGTGTGTGTGTGTGTGCGTGTGTGTGCGTATGTGTGTGCGTGTGGGGAGCGGTAGTGTAGTGGTTAGCGCGCTGCGCTATGAACCTGGCGACCCGGGTTCGATTCCCACTCACGACCAACACCAGTGACGATTATCTGAACCGGTCCCGGGCCTCCCCTAGGTCGACTCAGCCTCAAATGAGTACCTGGTGCAGTGTGTAAACATCGCCACTAGGGAGACAAAGGCGGTCGGGCGTGGTGCTGGCCCACTCACCCCCTCATGTACCGTTCCGGCCTTCATAGGTGCTCGCTAACAGCACTTGCCCCTACAGTCTGTTAAGGCTATATGGGGGATCTTTGTGTGTGCGTCTGCGTGTCTGCGTGTGAGTGTGCGAGTGTGTGTGTGTGCGTGTGCGTGTGCGTATGTGTGTGCGCGTGTGTGTGTGTGCGTGTGAGTGTGCGAGTGTGAGTGTGCGAGTGTGTGTGCGCGCTCCTGGGGAGTGACAGTGTAGCGGTCAGCGCTACGCTGCACTACGAACCCGGCGACCCGAGTTGGATTCCCCGCTCACGGCTACCAAGACCGGTGACGATTATCTGAACCGATTGCGGGCCTACCCTAGGTCGACTCGGCCTCAAATGAGTACCTGGTGTGGTGTGTAAACATCGCCACTGGTGAGACAACAACAGTCTATTAAGATTATACGGGGGGGAATCTTTGTCTTGTGTCGCTGTGCGTGCCGAATCAGACCCTGAAGGTGAACCTGGAGGAGATGTTTGCGGCCAACGGCGCGGTAGGGGAGGCGCCGGTGGCCACGGAGGCCGAGGTGCGAGTCCTGGACTGCGACACGGTCACCCAGGTGAAGGAGAAGATCCTGGACCACGTGTACCGCAGCGTGGGACACTCACAGCGGCCCAGCGCGAGCGGCCTGGAGATTGGTAACCACCGCACACACGCAACCACGCGCACAACCGAGTGCACAACCACACACACAACCACACCCACACAGCCGAGCGCACAACCTCACACACACAACCACATGCAGCCGATCACACAACCACACACATTACCACATGCACACAACCGCGCACAGACGAGCACACAACCACGCACAGTCACACACACAACAACACAACCGTGCACACAGCCACACATCCAACCACACGCACAACCGCCCACAGCCACCTGCGCAACTGCGCACACAAACCACACAAACCACACACACCACACACACCACACACACACACACCACACAAACCACACAAATCACACAAACCACACAACCGCACGCAGGCACCCCCAGCCCGGACCTCACTGGTAAACTTCACCGACCGCACAAACTCGCGAGGCTGTGAACACACCAATTCCAACCGCACCCACACGGAACCGAACCAAGTGAAGCGAAACTCAACCGCACCGTCCAATTTGTCCACCCCTGACTACCCGGACCGCCACCCCCCCCCCCCCCGCCCCCACCCCCACCCCTTGTGCGTGCGTGAGCCGTGCGTGACGAGTGGTGGCGCAGCAACTTGGCGTGCACTGCGCTACGAACCTGGCGTCCAGAGTTCGATTCCCGCTCGCGGCCAACACCCGCGTGACGGTTATTTGAACCCGGTGCTGGGCTTCTCTTAGGTCGACTCGGCCTCAAATGAGTACCCGGTGCGGCGCGCGAACATCGGTACCGCTGCTGCTCGCTACTCGGCACTCTCCCCGACCACACTTGCCCCTGAAGGCTACGTGGGGGACCTTTGTTTTTGCAGAGCTGTGCTCGCAGAGGGGCGGAGGCAGCGGGCTCACGCTGTCCGACGAGGACAACACCTCGGAGTCGGAGGCCGGCGTCCGGAGGCTCAACACGCTGAGCCACTACAAGGCGAGACACACGCACACATACGCGCACACACACGCTCACACGCACACACACACATGCACACACGGATGCATGCACACACGCACGCGCACGTAACCGTGCGCACTCGCACGCGGATGCATGCACGCACACGCTCGCACGGACACGCACACACGCTCGCACGGACACGCACACACGTTTGCACACGTACGCGCAAACGCACGCACGGACACACATGCAAAGGCAAACAAAGTATGCACGCACACGTGGACGCAAACACACGTGCACACGCTCGCACACGCATGAACACTAACGTACACACGTATACATGCACGCACACACACAAAGACCCCTCTCCCCCGGATAGCCTTAACGGATTTTTGGGGCAAGTGCTGTTAGCGAGCAACTAGGTCGACTCAAATGGGTGTGTTGACATCGCCATTGGGGAGACAAAGGCGGTCGGGCGTGGTGCTGGCCACCCACCCCCTCGCGTGCCGTTCCGGCCTTCATAGGTGCTCGCGAACAGCACTTGCCCCTACAGTCTGTTACAGGCTACGCGGGGGATCTTTGTGTAAGTGCGCGCGCCTATGTGTTTGTGCGTGCGTACGTGTCTCCGCATACGTGCGTGCGCGTGCACGTATGCGAGTGTGTGCGTATGCGCCCGAGTGCCTGTGAGTGAGTGCGTGAGTGTGTGTGTGTGCACCCGAGTGCCTGTGAGTGAGTGCGTGAGTGTGTGTGTGTGCACCCGAGTGCCTGTGAGTGAGTGAGTGCCTGTGAGTGCGTGAGTGTGTGTGTGTGCACCCGAGTGCCTGTGAGTGAGTGCATGAGTGTGTGCGTGTGCACCCGAGTGCCTGTGAGTGAGTGAGTGTGTGCGTGTGTGTGCACCCGAGTGCCTGTGAGTGAGTGTGTGTGTGTGTGTGCACCCAAGTGCCTGTGAGTGAGTGAGTGTGTGCGTGTGTGTGCACCCGAGTGCCTGTGAGTGAGTGAGTGTGTGCGTGTGTGCACCCGAGTGCCTGTGAGTGAGTGAGTGAGTGTGTGCGTGTGCACCCGAGTGCCTGTGAGTGAGCGCGTGAGTGCGTGTGTGTGCACCCGAGTGCCTGTGAGTGAGTGCGTGAGTGTGTGTGTGTGCACCCGAGTGCCTGTGAGTGAGTGCGTGTGTGCGTGTGTGTGTGTGCGTGGGAACTGCAGATGTGGGACGGCAGCACGGTGATGCTGGTACCGCGCAGTCAGCGGCACGTCAAGCCGTACAACCAGAACCACGACACCAGGCACTTGGCGGGCGAACGTACGTACACACACACACACACAGGCGCACACACGTGCACACACACGTGCACACACACGTGCACACACACGCACACACAGGACACGGTGAATCCATAGAGTGCAGGTTTCATAATCGTGGCAGGGAGTCTGATTGTCTCGATGGCCGTCCACCTGGTTTGAATAAAGAGTTCGTTATTTAAATATATACATCACGGGCGCACACACGCGCAGGAGATGTTGGGGTTGGGCTGACAGTGAAATCTGCAACACTGCAAAGACAAAGATCCCCCGTGTAGCCTTAACAGACTGTTGGGGCAAGTGCCGTTAGCGAGTAGCACCTATGAAGGCCGGCACGGCACACGAAGTGAGTGGGTGGCCAGCACCACGCCCGGCCACCTTTGTCTCCCCAGTGGCGATGTTCACACACCTCACTGGGTACTCGTTTGAGTCGACCTAGGGGAGGCCCAGTGCCGGTTCAGACAATCGTCGCTGATGTCGACCACGAGTGGGAATCAAACACGCTCGGAGACGCGCATGTACGTACGTACGTACACGTGGGGGGGGGGGGGGGGCGTGTTCCGGGCCGGGCGGTTTGGGCGTAAGCAGCAACGACGCGGCGAGAGGAGCGAGGGGAGCGAGGGGAGCGATGGGAGTGAGAGCGGCACGGTGTGTGTGCGGCGTTGTCGTCGTCACCTCGCCTCACCCCCCCCCCCCCCCCCGGCAGGCACGTCGATGCTGCGTCACAACGAGGAGGACGGCCTCGCATCCTACCACCTCATCAAGGCCACGGACGAGGACGAGGTGGACAAGAAGCAGAGGCTGGTCCGGGAGCATGACCACGTCATGGCCATCCCCGAGATTTACCTGACGCGCCTCCTCACCGTCAAGGCACGCGCACATGCACACACACACACAAGCTCACGCACACGCACATACACACACGCACACACGCACATACACACACGCACACGCACACGCACACACACACACACGCGCACGCAGCACACGCGCACGCGCACACGCGCACGCACGCGCACACACACACGCACAACAATAACAACAACAACCGCCATTCGCCACTAGTGGCGGTGACGTCACCATGACGCTTGTGCCAGGCCATGTGCACCTTGAGGCCACGTGAAGTGTCGAACGCCCGCTGGCAGGAGGTCACGGGGCAGACCCAGCAGGTGCCACGGGTCGACTGACACGTACACACGTACACGCACACGCACGCACACGCACGCACACGCACGCACACGCACGCACACGCACGCACACACACGCACACACAGCAAGGAAGTTTAACACGTAGTCGTGAAACCCGCCACCACTCGACACGGCAAATTATCAAGGGTTGTCACGTAAACAGAACTTGCCAATTCGTCACTAGTTCAGCACACCGGTGTGTTGGAGAGTAAAACCCACAACAGCAACACAATCGGAGAGCCTGCCCACATCACCACCACGAAGTCACGGGTCGTTGCACCGACTCTCATCACCAACCCACCCACGTTGCCACTGCCACCATCACCATCACATCGACAACAACCGACATTCGCCACGGAGTGGCGGCGATGTCACCACGGCGCTTGCGCCAGGCTAGGTGCACCTTCATCGGCGCTGCTCGCTAACAGCGCTTTTGCCCCAACGGTCCGTCAAGGCTACGCGGGGGATCTTTGTCTTTGTGCACTTTTGAGGCGTCCGCCCGCGTGAGGGTGCGGAAGGCTCGCTGACGAGGAGGTCACGGGGCAAGGCCCAGCCGGGTGCCGTGGGTTGACGGGCTGAGACGACTGGCAGAAGCGCCCACCCACCCGTGCCAGCGTACACACACACACACAAAGATCCCCGTACAGCCTGAACGGACTGTTGGGGCAAGTGCTGTTAGTAGCGAGCAGCACCTACGAAGGCCGGCACGGCGCACGAGGGGGTGGGTGGCCAGTACCGCGCTCGCACCGTGTGTCTGCCCTGCCTCTCTCATTGGCGCCGTGCATCTCCGCTGCCCTCCCTTGCCCCTCCCCTGCCCCTCCCCTGCCCCTCCCACTCACGCCGTGCTTCTCGCCCTGCCCGCCGGGGGCCCACAGACGGCGCTGCAGGAGATGGTGGAGCGCGTGTTCCGCGGCATCCTGAGCACGGACTGCGCCGTGCCGCACGGAGTCAAGTACTTCCTGGACTTCCTGGACACGCAGGCCGAGCGCTACGACGTCAACAGCGACGTCCTGCGCATCTGGAAGAGCAACTGGTGCGTGCGACCCGGGGTGTGGTGGGGGAAGTGGGGGGGGGGGGCAGGGGGGGAGGCGGGAGGGGTAGAAGTCTCGCACGACGACGATCGCCGTCGCGAGCATCCGTCACCGCCGCGCGCCTCGTGGCTCGAGTGGGCAGCTGAGGAGGGATCCTCCGTGGTTTATTCGGGCAACGTTGTCCCGCGACCCGCTCCTAGTGCTCTTGAACGTTTGGTATTTGTCATTTTTACGATGATCGGCCTTCGAAATAAATCTGCTCGAGCCGACTTTGCGCTACGGGGAGTTTGGTGTTCAATGTTGATTCGTGTTTAGTGCGATTATTCTCTCTCGCCCACTCGCTCACCCACCCAGTCGCTCACATACTCACCCACCTACCATCTCTCCCATCGTCTCACTCACCCACCCAGTCGCTCACATACTCACTCACCCACCATCTCTCCCATACTCTCACTCACCCACCCACCCAGTCGCTCACATACTCACCCACCCACCATCTCTCCCATCCTCTCACTCACCCACCCAATCACTCATCCACTCACCCACCCACCCAGTCGCTCACATACTCACCCACCCACCATCTCTCCCATCCTCTCACTCACCCACCCAATCACTCATTCACTCACCCACCCACCCAGTCGCTCACATACTCACTGACCCACCATCTCTCCCATCCTCTCACTCACCCACCCACCCACTCACTAACTTACCCACCTACCCACCATGTCACCCATCCTAACACTCATTCACCCACCCACCCAGTCGCTCACATACTCACTCACCCACCATCTCTCCCATCCTCTAACCCATCCTCTCACTCACCCACCCAATCACTCATTCACTCACCCACCCACCCAGTCGCTCACATACTCACTCACCCACCATCTCTCCCATCCTCTAACTCACCCACCCAATCACTCATACACTCACTCTTGCGATGGGACTTTATCCTGTGTCTCCCGAGCTCTCAGCAGAATTCAACAATACCAACTCAAAACTTGACTTGCGGTCTCGCACGAGCGAATTCTCTCTCGCGTCACCGCTAACCCCCCCCCCCCCTCCTGCCCCTTGACTGCCCCTTGACTGCCCCTGGGCACCACCGCCGCTGCTGCCCCCTCAGCCTGCTGCTGCGGTTCTGGACGCTGCTGCTCAAGGACCCGCAGCTGGTGTTCGACGTGGAGGTGTCGGAGGTGGTGCGCTCCTCGCTAGACATCATCTCGCAGACCTTCATGGACGCCTGCTCGCCGGAGGTCTACAAGATCACCAAGGTGGGGGGGGCAGGGGGGGGGCGGCTAGAGCAGGGGTCAAAACGAACAAGAACATATACATTTTTTTTTCTAATTTGATAAAAGACTAAAAATAAACTGAACTATAAACAATGCAGATCACGCGTCCACAACACGCGCACACACACGAGTTCACAACACGCGCGTCTACACACACACACACGCATCCACAACACCCGCACACACACACGAGTTCACAACATGCACACACACACACAGAAGAGTTCACAACACGCACACACACACACACAAGAGTTCACAACACGCACACACACACACACACGAGTTCACAACACGCACACACACACACACGCATCCACAACACCCGCACACACACACGAGTTCACAACACGCACACACACACACACAAGAGTTCACAACACGCACGCACACACACACACGAGTTCACAACACGCACACACACACACACACGAGTTTCACAACACGCGAGTCTACACACACACACACACGCATCCACAACACCCTCACACACACACGAGTTCACAACACGCACACACACACACACAAGAGTTCACAACACGCACACACACACACAAGAGTTCACAACACGCACACACACACACACGAGTTCACAACACGCACACACACACACACAAGAGTTCACAACACGCACACACACACACACAGAGTTTCACAACACGCACACACACACACAACGAGTTCACAACACGCCGCGTCTACACACACACACACGAGTCACACCGTGAGTTCACAACCACCACACACACAAGAGTTCACAACACGCGCGTCTACACACACACACACACGAGTTCACAACACGTGAGTCTACACACACACACACACACGAGTTCACAACATGCGCACACACACATAAACTTCACGTGGCCTCAAGGTGCCGTGGCGACGAATGGCGGCGGTTGTTGTTGAGTGTTTACCGAGCGTGGTGAGCGAACGGTGAGCGGCGAGCGCTGATCAAACGCTCCCTGTGTCCGGTTATCAAGCCACGCACGGTGAGCGGTGAGTGGTGAGTGTGCGCTCTGTAGTGAGTGGTGAGTGGTGAGTGTGGTGAGTGGTGAGTGGTGAGCGTGCACTCTTCAACTATTTCTTTTTTCAAGCCCCACTGAGCTGCGTAGCTCTTTTTCTGAAGTGACCTGGCAGTCACAAACGACAGCCCAACGAAGTGGCTCATCATCATCGTCATCATCATCGTCATCATCGTCGTCATCATCGTCATCATCGTCATCATCGTCATCATCGTCATCATCGTCATCGTCGTCATCATCGTCATCGTCATCATCATCATTGTCGTCATCGTCATCATCGTCGTCATCGTCATTGTCGTCATCATCGTCATCATTGTCATCATCGTCGTCATCGTCATCATCATCATCGTCATCATCGTCACCATCGTCGTCATCATCGTCATCATCGTCATCATCGTCATCATCGTCGTTGTCATCATCGTCATCATCGTCGTCATCGTCATCGTCGTCATCATCGTCGTCATCATCGTCATCATCGTCATCGTCATCATCGTCGTCATCGTCATCGTCGTCATCGTCGTCATCGTCATTGTCGTCATCGTCATCATCGTCACCATCGTCATCGTCATCATCGTCATCGTCATCATCGTCATCATCGTCATCATCGTCATCGTCATCATCGTCGTCATCGTCATCATCGTCGTCATCGTCATTGTCGTCATCGTCGTCATCGTCGTCATCGTCATCATCGCCATCGTCGTCATCGTCGTCATCGTCATCATCGTCATCATCGTCATCATCGTCGTCGTCATCATCGTCATCATCGTCATCATCGTCGTCATCGTCATCGTCGTCATCGTCGTCATCGTCGTCATCGTCGTCATCATCGTCATCATCGTCGTTGTCATCATCGTCATCATCGTCGTCATCGTCATCGTCGTCATCATCGTCGTCATCATCGTCATCATCGTCATCGTCATCATCGTCGTCATCGTCATCGTCGTCATCGTCGTCATCGTCATTGTCGTCATCGTCATCATCGTCACCATCGTCATCGTCATCATCGTCATCGTCATCATCGTCATCATCGTCATCGTCATCATCGTCGTCATCGTCATCATCGTCGTCATCGTCATTGTCGTCATCGTCGTCATCGTCGTCATCGTCATCATCGCCATCGTCGTCATCGTCGTCATCGTCATCATCGTCATCATCGTCGTCGTCATCATCGTCATCATCGTCGTCATCGTCATCGTCGTCATCGTCGTCATCGTCGTCATCATCGTCATCATCGTCATCATCGTCATCATCGTCATCATCGTCATCATCATCAGTCATCGTCATCATCATCATCATCGCGTGGACATTCACGAACAGACAAATCCTCTGACGGCGGTGCGGCCAAGGCGGTGCGCACCGCGACGACGTGACGTGATGTCCAAGTCGTTTCATGTGACAGCGTTGGGCCCGCGCAGCGTCCAGCGAGGGCGTCTTTATGAGGCCACCCACAGGCGACGCTCCTCACGCTCGAGCAGTCTTCTGATGGACTTGGCAGGTGCCTGCCGAGTGTCAAACATATGTGAACCGGTGACTCCCCTTCACCCCACCGCCCCCTCCACCAACCCGGACTAACCAGCGCCGGTGAAGTATGGTCAAACGAATCCCTCCATGGCCGCAGTGGTGTGGCAAGGCCCCCCGCCACCTGCAGAATCATCACAATCTGTATTTATACCGGAGGAGGAAATCCGATGAGGATATAAATCTCTCTTTTTCACGGATGTCCAGTCAGGGGCACGGGGTCGGAGCATTACAACAACAACAAACACGGCACGGAAACACGATTGCAGTGCGAAGTGCAGGAAAGGCGAACACAAATCGCCCAAAAAGTCTGACTAAACCATCCCCAGCCTAGCAGGCAAAGCCCACTAGAGGCCGTGAACCTGTTTCACACCGAGTTTACGCAGCAGCTGCAGAGAATTGCCGCTGAAACTCGCCATCCCCCCCCCCACCCCGCGTGGTTCTACACGGGAACACGTCCTGACCCCACGACCTCTGCCCTGTGACTCCTGAACCCCTCCCCTCCACACCCCCCCCCCACGTGACCCCAACCCCCAGGAAGCCCCCACGCGCCGCCTCCTCTTCGCCAAGGAGCTGCCGCAGTTCCGCAAGATGGTGGAGCGGTACTACGACGACGTGGCGCAGATGGTGCCCGTGAGCGACCAGGACATGAACTCGTGGCTCAACAGGCAGTCCTGCGTGAGTGGGCCCCACCCTCTCACCCTCCCCCCCCCACCCTCTCACCCACCCCCCCACCCTCTCACCCACCCCCCCCACCCTCTCACCCACCCCCCCCACCCTCTCACCCACCCCCCCCACCCTCTCACCCACCCCCCACCCTCTCACCCCCCCCCACCCTCTCACCCACCCCCCCCCCACCCTCTCACCCACCCCCCCCACCCTCTCACCCACCCCCCCCCACCCTCTCACCCACCCCCCACCCTCTCACCCACCCCCCACCCTCTCACCCACCCCCCACCCTCTCACCCACTCCCCACCCTCTCACCCACCCCCCCCCCTACCCTCTCACCCACCCCCCACCCTCTCACCCACCCCCCCACCCTCTCACCCACCCCCCACCCTCTCACCCACCCCCCCACCCTCTCATCCACCCCCCACCCTCTCACCCACCCCCCGCCCTCTCACCCACCCCCCACCCTCTCACCCACCCCCCCACCCTCTCATCCACCCCCCACCCTCTCACCCACCCCCCGCCCTCTCACCCACCCCCCACCCTCTCACCCACCCCCCCACCCTCTCACCCACCCCCCCACCCTCTCACCAACCCCCCCACCCTCTCACCCACCCCCCCACCCTCTCACCCACCCCCCCACCCTCTCACCCACCCCCCACCCTCTCACCCACCCCCCACCCTCTCACCCACCCCCCACCCTCTCACCCACCCACCACCCTCTCACCCACCCACCCCCCACCCACGTGGTCTACGTGGGCGACCAGCGGAGGGTTCGATGTTCGCGTCGATGAACCGGTGACGCTGGTGAAGGCCGCGCCACAATAATAATAATAAAACACCCCCCTCCCCCTGTTTTACGTGGAGAGGTAAATGTGGCGGGGACACGTTGCTTTATTTGGTTATGGGATTTGGTTAGCGGATTTGGCTGTGGGATTTGTCTGTGGGATTTGGCTATGGGATTTGGCTGTGGGATTTGGCTATGGGATTTGGCTATGGGATTTGGCTGTGGGGTTTGGCTGTGGGATTTGGCTATGGGATTTGGCTATGGGATTTGGCTATGTGATTTGGCTATGGGATTTGGCTGTGGGATTTGGCTATGGGATTTGGCTATGGGATTTGGCTATGGGATTTGGCTGTGGGATTTGGCTGTGGGATTTGGCTATGGGATTTGGCTATGTGATTTGGCTATGGGATTTGGCTGTGGGATTTGGCTATGGGATTTGGCTGTGGGATTTGGCTATGGGATTTGGCTGTGGGATTTGGCTATGGGATTTGGCTATGGGATTTGGCTATGGGATTTGGCTATGGGATTTGTCTGTGGGAATTGGCTGTGGGATTTGGCTGTGGGGTTTATCGAGGCTTAGTGTGTGCATCGTATTGAGTCGTTCTGTTAGTCTGCCGACTAAAGCGGCCGCACGTTCTGGCCACAAGTTCCTCGTTGGCTGTCGCCCGTCGTGGTCCCGGCGCTGTTAGAGGCCGCGGCGAGGGTTGCTGGATCACGCACAGATGGGCTGCCAAACGCTCTCCTACCCGCGTGGGCGTTGAGGAGGAGTCCTTCCCTGTCTCTCGCCAGAATGCGGAGCAGCAAAGTGCGGGAACCCACCTGTTCCATCTCCGTGGGGTCGAGTGTTGTCCTCCAGTTCTCTCCCACACGGACAAACGGCTCCGTAGCCCAATCCCGCTCCGATGACGTACGTGCGCGTGCGCCATCCGTACCGAGGCTGCACAGTTTTGGCGCCAGCTACCGTAGAGTGTCGCCGCAGTTCTCTGCGGTAAGTAACGATGCCTTCTTCAAGAACCACGGCGCCGCTGCCACGCCTCAATAAAGTTAGCGGCGAGCCACTGGCGCGTTCCCGAGGTGCAGCGGTGAACGGGGGGGGGGGGGGGGGGGGGGGACCCGGGGGAGGACCCACCCAGCAACTTGCAGACATCACGAAACGGAAAATGGTGATTGACCGATAGCAACTTTATATATAGAGGACCGCAGAGCATTAGGAAGGGGGGGATGTGACACTGGCTCACCACCACGTGGCTGCTGCTGCCTTCCCACTCGTCTGCGGTTCCTACTCCTGCTCCTGGCGCCTCCGTGTCTCTGTCTCTCTGTGTCTCTCTCTGTCTCTCTCTGTGTCTCTTTCTCTGTGTGTCTCTCTCTCTCTCCATCTCTGTCTCTGTCTCTCTGTCTGTGTGTCTCTGGCTCTCTCTCTGTGTCTCTCTCTCCGTCTCTGTCCCTCTCTCTGTCTCTCTGTCTCTCTCCCGCTCTGTGTCTCTGTCTCTCTCCCTCTCTGTCTCTCTCTCTGTCTCTCTCTGTCTCTGTATGTCTCTGTCTCTCTGTCTCTCTCTCTCTGTCTGTCTCTCTCTCTGTCTCTCTCTGCGACGACGTGGGGTGGTGCGCCGCTCACTCCCGGGAGTGAGCGAATGGCATCGTGACGTGCGCCGCCGCGTGTCACCCCAGACGTACACGAGCGAGCTGGACATGCGCGGGGCTCTGTACGAGCTGTACAAGTACGCGGACAAGTACTACGAGAAGGTACCCCTCACTCTGCGCACTTGAGCGCTCGGGCACACGAGCACACGGGCACACGAGCACCGCCGCCGCCGTTGTTTGTCGTTATTGTTGTCGTTGACCTCGCTGCATTGCCCCCGCCGCCCCCGCCGCCGGCTTTGCCGTCAGATCGCGGAAGCCCTGAAGGAGGACACCACGGGGCAGCTCGCCGACCGATTCCGCACGGCGATGCGTGACAACCCGCCGACCGGGCACTGACGCGGCCGCTGCCGTGTGGCGACCGCCCCACGCCGCACCGCCCACCCACGCCAAGCGCCGCACTCAAAAGCCGTGGAGGCGATGGCGCCGACAGCAGGAGGAGTCCCGGCGAGAACGCCGATGGCGCGGACGCTGGTTTTCCAAATCCCACGGCGGAGGGCCCCCCCCCCCCCCGGGAGGTGGTCGTCTTGCGATGGGCCGCGTGCCGAGCACCGATTTCTCCCCCCCCCCCCCCCGACGAGCGTTCGCCACGCGGCACCGCGGGCCTCGTCTCATTTGCTTCCCGGTTATCCTGCCGGGCCCCAGGACTCCCGTGATTGGATGGCGGTGACCGCCTCGTCACCGCCTCGTCACCGCCACGCCGATTCAGATCGTCGGTCGTCCCGTTGTGTGTGGTGTGCGGCAACGTCCCAGGGCGGAATCTCGCTGCTTCCGAACCCGGCTCGCGGCTTGCGGCTCGCGTCCGCCTTGCCCATGGAAACCCTGCACCGGCACCGTCATCCGGCGAGTTCCAGCGGCGATTCCTCTCCGCCCAGTCCGCGCTTGCCGGCGCCGCCGCCACCGCCACCACGACCACGCAAAGCAGCGCCTGACCCAAGCCGGATCCAAGCCGGATCCGATCGCCCGCGAGCCTTCGACAGCAGCGTGCGCCGGGACTCGCGAAGGAAGCGTGTGGGTGCAAGGAGGGCATGCGGCCGTCCTGGGCGGCCGTTGCCGCGATGTTCCCGCCGGTGCGCTTGGCGGGTGTAACCCGCGGAGCGCAGATATGGTGGGGTGGGGGTCCCTCCGCTGCCACAGCCACCACTTTTATCATCTCCTCCCCAAGAATTCCCTCCACGCGCACCTCGCGCAACGTGGCCAGGCGCGTCGCCGGGTCGCTGGTGACGCGAGGAGCTTGCCCCCCCCCCCCCCCGTCGGTCTTCTATCAATGGACTGCTGGATGGAGGGCGGGATGGGGGGGGTGTAGGGGGGGGTCGCCCCTTCACGGTGCCGCAACGCCGCAACAATCCGCAGGCCGGCGGCACCTGCGTACGATCTCACAAAGTTCATCTCATCTCGAGTGGCCACGGGGGCACCATATGTGTCGTCAAACCACGTGGGTAGTCTCTCTGCATTTTTTTCAACAGAGGAGGAACAGCAAAAGTGACACGAACTCTCTTCTCTCCTCTCGGAGGCACAACTCTCTCATCGTGGTTAACAGAACCTCGACATCGGCATCTGGCTCCCGGAATGTATTTTTCCCGCACGTGCCAAGTTAATACCGCAACTCCAATCTCACACGTCCGCGAAGCGCGAGAGAGAGAGAGGGGGCGGTGGGGGGGGGAATGATCGTAACGCGAGAGAGAGAGAATTAACGATGTAACACGCGAGACCGCAGAGTCGATGACGACGACGTCGATGACGACGACGACGACGACGACGACGATGCGGTCGCTCGGCACGTCCGCTTCATTTCACGTCGCGACGCCGGTTCGAGCCCCACGCCACCGTGGTGCCGTCGGGGACCGGGGGGGGGGGCTGCTCGGAGGGGAGGGGGATTCGAGGTCGAATTGACGAATTGAGAAGCACGAAGCGTTTGTACGTTTGTATCCGCCCGTCTTTGTATAAAATCAATAAAAGCTGTAATTGATGTACCGTGACGCGTCGTCACGCTGCGGTTGACGAATGCAACTTTGCGATGCCGTGGGTGGAGGAGGAGGGAGGGGCCCGTAGCTCGGCAGCTCGAGGAGAAGTTGCGTGCGTTGTGAGGCAAGACCATGAACTTGTTTTTTAACACCAGGAGTTGTAAGGCCCACAGAGCTATGTGGCTATTTTTGGGAAGCGACCTGGCGGTCACAAATGACAGCTCAACGAAGTGGCGCTTATCGTCGCGTGGACACGTATAGCAGCCAAATGCTCTCAACGCGTGGATGTTGATTCTACACGTGGAGGGGAAAACCAGGAGACCCAGAACAAACGCCACGCGACCGCGGTGTGAACGAAACTAAACTATCTTATTTGACCAGGTAAGGTCTCACTGAGATGTGTAGCTCTTCTTGAGAAGCGACCTGGCTGCCACAAATGCTAACTTAACGTGTAGTGGCTTCTCATCACGTGGACAGGTAGAACAGCTTGAAACGCACGTGGCTCTAAATGTGGCGGGCAACAACCGGAGAAAAATCCACGCGACCACGGAGACAACATGCAAACTCCAAATTTACAACCGGCTTTAGGGTCGGGATCGAACCCACGACCTCCTGCATACCAGGCGAGGTAATTAACATCTCACTACCGTGGGAAAAGCTGTGTGGAGGTTGGGAAGAGAAACCGTGAAAGTGTGGGGGGGGGGGGGGGGGAGTGTTGTGGAGTGCTGAGAGTTGATGATGGGCATTGCAAAGCCACTGCAGTGGGGTCCGTCTTGCCGATTTGAAACGATCCGATCAACATCGAAGCTTGGGCACGTGTGCGACGGAGCGACGCCGCGTCGTCGTTGTCGCACGCAATTTGCAGAGGCGGTTCCAAATCCAGCGGCCGCTCCGATGTAATACCGCAGGTTCTATAGCGGAGCGAGAGAGAGACCCGCTTCGCTCGCGAGTGGGACGCTACAAATCCCGTGGCGCCATCCGCAAGAGTTTGCCGACTGTGTGCGGGCGTCAGGGGTCCGCAGTCGGCGCTCTTCACCGCAAGGCCACCAAGGGGCCTCCGCGGGGCCCTCCGGTGGCCTCTAGTGCGGCTCTTGACCCGCGGCCCCCACCGACGATACACAAAGAGTGAAAACACCCCCCCCCCCGCCCCCCCATTGTCATCATCATCGTGCTGCTGTCAAACCCAACAATGGTTTAAAATGTGTGGTGGCCCTCACCACACTACTGATGATGTGAACACTGACCTAAGTTTTCAAAGAAATGACACCACAGGTTCCGCGCACAGCAGCAACTATCGCTCCCTACTGGCTGAAGACGTATCCGTGAGTCTATGGGTCTCGGTGAGTCTATGGATCTCAGCAGAGATGCACAATGTAAGTCTGTGTATCTGTGTGAGTCTATGGTTATTTGTGTGAGTCTATGGGTCTCTGCCATGTGAGTCTATGGGTCTGTGTGAGTCTATGGGTCTCTGTGAGTCTATGGATCTCTGCTATGTGAGTTTATGGGTATCTGTGTGAGTCTATATGGGTCTCTGTGAGTCTGGATCTCTGCGATGTGAGTTTATGGGTCTCTGTGAGTCTGGGTCTCTGTGAGTCTATGGGTCTCTGTGAGTCTATGGGTCTCTGTGAGTCTATGGTTATTTGTGTGAGTATATGGGTCTCTGTGAGTCTATGGGTTTCTGCTATGTGAGTATATGGGTCTCTGTGTGAGTCTATGGTTATTTGTGTGAGTCTATGGGTCTCTGTGAGTCTATGGGTCTCTGTGTGAGTCTATGGTTATTTGTGTGAGTCTATGGGTCTCTGTGAGTCTGGATCTCTGCTATGTGAGTCTATGGGTCTCTGTGTGAGTCTATGGTTATTTGTGTGAGTCTATGGGTCTCTGTGAGTCTATGGATCTCTTTTATGTGAGGTTATGGGTCTCTGTGTGAGTCTATGGGTCTCTGTGTGAGTCTATGGGTCTCTGTGAGTCTATGGATCTCTTTTATGTGAGGTTATGGGTCTCTGTGTGAGTCTATGGGTCTCTGTGTGAGTCTATGGTTATTTGTGTGAGTCTATGGGTCTCTGTGAGTCTATGGGTCTCTGTGTGAGTCTATGGGTCTCTGCTATGTGAGTCTATGGGTCTCTGTGTGAGTCTATGGGTCTCTGTGTGAGTCTATGGGTCTCTGTGAGTCTATGCATCTCTGTGAGTCTATGGGTCTCTGCTATGTGAGTATATGGGTCTCTGTGTGATTCTATGTTGTTTATAGAACTTCTTTCGCACCGTACGTAATCGGAGGAGCGGGAGAAGGACAAACTAAAATACACAATCGGCTGTTCTCAAGAAATGAGTTTGTCAATCTCGATGATGATGATTATAAAAGTGCCGCAATCTCCCAGTGGCTTCCCAATATCGCAAGGGGAGCAGCGTTCCAGACGGCCGCGTCTGGAAGCGCCACGCTGCGATGAAGCCGGTGGCACTCGCAGGTCATCGAGACGTCGATTTGGGGTGGCAGGCCCACATCTGGTGGGGGAGGAGGAGGAGCGGTGGCGCAGTGGTTAGCGCACCGGGCTGCAGTTCCTCAGGGGCCGTCCGTAAATGACGTCACGCGATTTTGGACGATTCCCCCCCCCCTCGTCACACGGCGTCACAAAAAGTCAGACCCCCCCCCCCCTCAAATATGACGTCACAAAGCTCTGCCCTCCCCCCCAAAATATATCAAACATGCTTCAGATCGCTTTAAACTATTGTCATTGTAGTGCGTACTTAATGTGGCGCTGCACTCTGATGTTGTAGGAGAAAACGTTTATTAAAAGTCTATTAAATTAAGTGGAACGTGTTGTGTATATTTAAAGTTTCGCATTGTGATGTGACGTCACATTTCTCACCCCCCCCCCCCCCCCTCATCACAAATGTCTGAGCCCACCCCCCCTCTAGGTGCGTGACGTCATTTATGGACGGCCCCTAACACCCTCATCTGTCAGCCCACACGGCTTTAGCGGCTTTAGCCCGTGTTCTTGGGCAGGTAAAGCGAGTTTTCAGGCCCCGTTCGGCGTGTGGCCGTTTCATTGCGGGGCAGCCTTTGTCCGTCTGTGCTTCTCCCTCGTGGTGTTGAGATCTAGAGGGGTGATGAGATCTAGAGGGGTGTTGAGATCTAGAGGGGGTGTTGAGATCTAGAGGGGGTGTTGAGATCTAGAGGGGGTGTTGAGATCTAGAGGGGTGATGAGATCTAGAGGGGTGATGAGATCTAGAGGGGGTGTTGAGATCTAGAGGGGGTGATGAGATCTAGAGGGGGTGATGAGATCTAGAGGGGGTGTTGAGATCTAGAGGGGTGTTGAGATCTAGAGGGGTGTTGAGATCTAGAGGGGTGTTGAGATCTAGAGGGGTGATGAGATGTAGAGGGGTGATGAGATCTAGAGGGGTGATGAGATCTAGAGGGGTGATGAGATCTAGAGGGGTGATGAGATGTAGAGGGGGTGTTGAGATCTAGAGGGGTGATGAGATCTAGAGGGGTGATGAGATGTAGAGGGGGTGATGAGATCTAGAGGGGGTGATGAGATCTAGAGGGGGTGTTGAGATCTAGAGGGGGTGTTGAGATCTAGAGGGGGTGATGAGATCTAGAGGGGGTGATGAGATCTAGAGGGGGTGTTGAGATCTAGAGGGGGTGATGAGATCTAGAGGGGGTGTTGAGATCTAGAGGGGGTGTTGAGATCTAGAGGGGGTGTTGAGATCTAGAGGGGGTGTTGAGATCTAGAGGGGTGATGAGATCTAGAGGGGGTGTTGAGATCTAGAGGGGGTGTTGAGATCTAGAGGGGGGTGTTGAGATCTAGAGGGGTGATGAGATCTAGAGGGGTGATGAGATCTAGAGGGGTGTTGAGATCTAGAGGGGGTGTTGAGATCTAGAGGGGTGTTGAGATGTAGAGGGGGTGATGAGATCTAGAGGGGGTGTTGAGATCTAGAGGGGGTGTTGAGATCTAGAGGGGTGATGAGATCTAGAGGGGGTGATGAGATCTAGAGGGGGGTGATGAGATCTAGAGGGGTGTTGAGATCTAGAGGGGGTGTTGAGATCTAGAGGGGTGTTGAGATGTAGAGGGGGTGATGAGATCTAGAGGGGTGTTGAGATCTAGAGGGGGTGTTGAGATCTAGAGGGGTGATGAGATCTAGAGGGGGTGATGAGATCTAGAGGGGGTGTTGAGATCTAGAGGGGGTGTTGAGATCTAGAAGGGGTGATGAGATGTAGAGGGGTGTTGAGATCTAGAGAGGTGATGAGATGTAGAGGGGGTGTTGAGATCTAGAGGGGGTGTTGAGATCTAGAGGGGTGTTGAGATCTAGAGGGGTGATGAGATCTAGAGGGGGTGTTGAGATCTAGAGGGGGTGTTGAGATCTAGAGGGGGTGTTGAGATCTAGAGGGGGTGTTGAGATCTAGAGGGGTGATGAGATCTAGAGGGGTGATGAGATCTAGAGGGGGTGATGAGATCTAGAGGGGTGATGAGATCTAGAGGGGTGTTGAGATCTAGAGGGGGTGATGAGATCTAGAGGGGTGATGAGATCTAGAGGGGGTGTTGAGATCTAGAGGGGGTGTTGAGATCTAGAGGGGTGATGAGATCTAGAGGGGGTGTTGAGATCTAGAGGGGGTGTTGAGATCTAGAGGGGGGTGTTGAGATCTAGAGGGGGTGATGAGATCTAGAGGGGGTGATGAGATCTAGAGGGGGTGATGAGATCTAGAGGGGTGATGAGATCTAGAGAAGGTGATGAGATCTAGAGGGGGTGATGAGATCTAGAGGGGGTGTTGAGATCTAGATGGGGTGTTGAGATCTAGAGGGGGTGTTGAGATCTAGAGGGGTGATGAGATCTAGAGGGGTGTTGAGATCTAGAGGGGGTGATGAGATCTAGAGGGGGTGATGAGATCTAGAGGGGGTGATGAGATCTAGAGGGGGTGATGAGATCTAGAGGGGGTGTTGAGATCTAGAGGGGGTGATGAGATCTAGAGGGGGTGATGAGATCTAGAGGAGGTGTTGAGATCTAGAGGGG